TAGAGAGCATGTTCTTGGGTGATCTTCCTTTTGTTTTCTCTTTTTGTCAACATGTCCACTCTAGATGCTAGTGCAACAATCAGTTGTGACCAAACCTTTGAGATTGTTGCCCAAGTTGAGGGGTTCCTGTCATTGAACATCCTAGTGCAATGGGCCTTCCAAATCTCTGTTAGAATACATCCCTTGAGAACATCAAAGAGTTCCTGATGGAGATGTGTGAGGTGAGTGCGCATTCAGTTAAGTTGGTCAAAATTGAAGTGTTGGTCTTCCCTTGGAAGAAACTACCCTAAAGTGTGGATTCATTGTGAGGTTCACTTGAGGATTGCCATACATGTCAACTATGTAACATGATGGAGTAGGTTTGCTCTTATATTCGTGCCCAGACAGAGGAGATGAACAAGATCAAGGCATAGGAGTGAAGCTTGAATCTGTTTGCTCCACAACTTTGGTTCTAGAGCAACAAGCAGGATAAGGAGGAGCTGTGAAATCACGTTGTGAGTGTGACTTACAATGGGTTGGGCTACAAGGTGTAGAAGTTTGACATGCGAGAGCTAGTGTTTGGAAAGCCCAAGCCCATAAGGATTGTTTTCAAGGATTTTAAGAATGCTCATGGACTTTCTTACTGCACTATAAGTCACTTGTTGATAGTTATCACTTCTAGGAATGATGCCTCTTGTTGACAGTGAAACTAGCCAAAACAGTTTCATATTATGAATATATTAGAATTGGTAGTAAAAATGAATTATAAATACTATGGGTAGTAAAATCCTACCACCACAAAATTCACTACTTGCTAACATACCAACCTAGAACACAATGCTTTCAGTTTAAAAGCCTGATTGCATTATTTTTAAGCCAAACTGGTGGTAAGAAAACTAACTTTCTGAGCTAACCTGGGCCTCATCATAGAGCACCACCCAGAGCTGAACCGCTTGGAATAAGCTCTCTGGCAATGCTGGGGAACAATCATGGTTGGTCGTTTTGTGATATTTGACCAGAGGTTTCTTCTCTTTACAGGTGGAGCTGGTCTACACATTTGATTCGCGTTCTTGAATACAGAACTCAAGGACCAAGCTCTTGTTTTGCCTGAGAGAAGAGTTAGTTTCCAGAGACAAATTCTTTGTGGCTATGGCCATCTTCCATCCCATTGAGCTGCAAGCCGTTGGTGGCCTGGTGGCTGCAGCGTGTGCTTCAGCGCTAAAAACGCGTCTCTCGGCTGGTTCCAAAGAACCGAGACTGATTTTACTCTTGTTCCGGGTTCTGAAATCCCACAGTTGTAAGGCAAAGAAGGCAACTTCTACAAGATGTCATGCCGCTACAGTCGTGGCTGAGCATGGACGCTTGAGCGTAGAGAGTGTAGAGAGCGTAAACGAGCTGGGAGCATTGATCTTGTCTTTGGTCAGGAGATTCACAAAGATCTCCAGGAAAATCCTTTCGCTACTCCAGCGATCATCTACGAACAAAGCTGACCTAGCACTGAAAACCGCGATGGTCACAGCGGCCTATGTTGCTCTTGCCACATCCTGGGGCCATCCATCGCCGCTGCCTAGCATCGCTCATCATCTTGGGGATGAGAGAGTTAGGGTTCTTAGCGGTGAGAGAAAGGGGATGATGCTTCATCCTCCTCATGCATTCAATAATGTTGATTATGCCTTCTTAGATCCTTTGTATCTAGCAGTTGTTTCGTTTTGCGTGAACATGACATAGAACGGCTTGGAGACGCCACGAGATCTCTTTGCAGAATTTAGCTGGACGGATGTGGCTGCCCACACGACATTGTACTCCCCGATCGGCTTGGTAAGCATTCTCTTTTGTTCTTGCCCGCCAGTCAAGTGATTCCTCTCGTGCTCTCCATCTATTGCGCCTCGATTCTGCTCCTCAATCCATGCCACTAAATACTTGTTTCATTCTTTCTTCCAGGTGATGGCAGATTGCTCGTACCTCTTGGGCTGGGAGAATTTCTATGTGAGGCCTGAGCACTTCTCCAGGATGAAACTCCCGCGCTCTGGGAGCTACATGGCTTTGAACGATGCCGTCTTGAATTCCACTGCTTACAAGAAGCTGCTGGACCGTAAATAAGCTATTTTGTACCAGTAGTGGTAAGCTAGTTTTGTTTCTTCTTTGTAGACATCAAAGGGCTCTACAAGAAGCAAAAAGCTGGAAGAAATGCCCCTTATATGTCACATATAGCCTTCTACACACTTTATGGAGCGGCTCAGGATCAGATGGTGTTAGCCTTGACTCACCACGGTCTCCTTCCCTGGCTCTTCTTTACAAGAGATGCCCATTACTCAATCTTTCTCAACCAGTAAGTTTCATTTCTTGTTAAGATAACTACCTAAAACCAAACCAGGTATGCTGCTGCCATGAGGTTCAACGTGGCTCCATTCCTGAGACGCCTCGTTTTGACTCTTGACAGTTCTAACTACCATCCAATCCCCGCGACTTGGCACCTTTTGTGAGAAGGTATGTGCATGAGATTTCATCCTTACCTCTCACTTTGGTAATAGGCGGTTGATCTCGTGCGCTATGGAATTGGCGCTTTGTGCATGGCTTGCCACAGCAATGGAATCCCGTTCAATGCAAATGCAGCACCCGATGAGTTGGCCGAGCTTCTGTAAGCTTCTAATTGTTTATTTTTTCTTATTTAAAGCTTGTGTTCTTCACAGCTGGACGGCAAACTCCTGACGAAAGACTTGTAGTATCAAGAACAAAATCATGGACTTGTGCTACCGGTGCTGGTCCATAGCGTTGAGTTGTGTTGTGATCTGGCCCAGATGTTCCTAACTGGATTAAGACTGGTAAGAAGGTTTCCAATATAGTCAGGATTTCAGTCGAATTTTGAAAAAAAAAAAATCCTCTCTTTTCCTTTAGATTTTCTTTTTGAGTGACGAGAGCAAACAGTTGCCTTATGGTCTTGGCGACAAGTGAGATTGTCGTAGGGTCGTTGTCCATGGCGATTCTTCCAAACAGAGAACTTCACGTAAGTTTCAATGTTGTTTTCTCATAGTTCTCTCTTTTAAGTTTTACTTTGTCTCACTCGTTACGGGGAGGATTGCTGTTCTACCCGATCGGATGCTGGATCGTTGAAGCTCCAAAGCTGTAGACCAAGAGCATATGCGCCAAATACCAAGAGTCATGCCTGGCTCACAGGTTCGTCTTTGAGATTTTCACTTGCTAGAATTTCTAGGTGCTGGCAGGACGATCTTTTCAGAACAGTTACGTTGGACGCACAACTCATCGCCCTCGGAAGTTAGGTCTCGAGAGTTGGAGGTTTTTGGAGAGGAAGATCCTTTCGTCGGACTCGAAGCTTTCAGTGTCTTCTCTTCCAAGGGAGAAGATGATCAGGCAAGTTTCTCGGCTGACGCCACGACCAAGTGGCCCGATTTTAGATTCTTTCCAAAGCGGAAGGTGTTTGCGAGAGCATTTTCCGCCGAGGCTCGCGACGTAGCAGTGGAGATGCGAGCGGTCTTGCCGGGAGGCCCAAGCAACTACGATGGTCGAGAGTTCGCCAAGGATATGCTCAAGGGTTTGACAGCGAGGCAATTCGCACAGCTTAGCAAAAGTTTGCGACGACGACGTCTACCACTTCCTCAGCTATGGCGAGCTGAAGGAAGGGCTGGTAAGTCTGGGCGAGCAGCCGCGAGCAGCGCTATCCCAGCACAGCATGGAGTCCCGTGATCAAGAACAGGAGGGATCTCTACTGGCGGAGCTAGACCGTGGCAAGAAGAAAATTTAAGAAGTGGAAGACTGAAAACTTCGCATTCTTCGTCGAGATCCTGGCTGAGAAGCAGCAGCTCAAGCCACTGATTGGCAGAAGACATAGCATAGACAAGAAGAGCTCGACAAAAGAGCTGAGACGACGAACGCTGGTCCTCTCATTCCTCTTTATTGTCTAACGTCTTTCATTTAAACAAGACTCCGGAGAACAAAGCGAAGTTACTCTTTCTCTCCAAACTTTTCTACCAACAGAATCATATTGATTTGCCTGGGCTTGCAAAGGACAGCAATCTACATAGTTAACGTTCTAGACTACAAACGCCCAAACTTACACATTCACTTTGGAAACGACTAATAAAGTTTGCCTGCAAATCTATGAGGAGAAGAAAAAAAGGAAAAAAAAAAAAGAAAGAAAAAATCCAGGGGAAAGCATTGCAGTCTAATATAGGTGCAAATGGTGTAAGCATGGTTTATCTTATTAAACCACATATTCTACCTACAAACTTTTGAGTGTATATTGAAAATCTACTAAGGCTGTGGAAAGAAACACTTAGAGACAAGCTTTTGCAATTACCACATGAGCAGCTGCTCATGTGGTAATCGCAAAAGCTCGTCACTGCATCATCGCTTCCACTAATTGACAGACTGTCTGCAATCTCTGACAACTAAGAAGAGCGACACCTACATTACAATCACAAACCTCTCTCCAAAGTTTTCTCGTGCGAGGCAGATTGTGTACCCCAGGACACATTATCGTCAAGAACGCGACCAGCACCTGGATCGCCACACAGTAACTAACAATCGCTCGAAAGCTTTGACAGACCATTTTGAGTTTTCTGCTTGTTCAACAGCATCACCGTCGTCAGTGTGTCTGCTTCTTGAATCATCGATGTTCGTGCCCTCCCTCATGAGCATTTCAGGCCCTAAAACCTTCTATCAACTTCATCTAGATCGTGATCTAAAGGAAGAAGGAAATCCATCAAAACTTTTGCTTGGCCACACAAACTATAGAATAGGGTTGGCCAATCTAGAATGGAGCAGGCGAATGTGGATAGCCTCTTCAAGGGTGTGAAAGTGCCGCCGCGCTTGAGAGAAGCCGTGGATGCCACGCTCGAGTTGCGGAGGGTCATCTCCGCCTTCAGGCAGAGTTGCTTCTTCTCTGTGGAGGGTGGAGCTCTGTTCGAGACAATTCAAGCGTGGTACGTGAAGAAATACGTGCCCAGTTCCAACCTGAAGGAGTACCCCAAAGTACACACTGTTTTTCTCGCTGTAGAGTTTAATTTGCTGCTTTAGGACCTGGAGGAAAGGAACCCATATGCACGGTATAAGACTCAATTCCCAAAGGCTGCAAGGGCGTGGTCCTCAAAGCTGGATTTCTTGCTTGATGAAATCCCGCTCTGCAACTCATCGCTGCAGTCGCTTGAGCGATGTAAGTTTCCCTCGCAGCCAGATGAAAATACTGACAAAAAGAACAACAGGGACTGTAAGTGCAGCGGAGCTGGAGCAGCTCCTGCTAGACCTGGGTGACGGCGGAAGGCTTGCTCCTCTTATTACTGTGTGCCCTTACCTTACACACTTGGAGAACGTCTACATGGCCGTGTTAGACGCGCGGCTGTGGCTCAGCTATTCAGAGCTTCCTGTCGAACCTCTTCGGAACAGCGGATCATGTGAGTGAGCCTTCAGCATTCTTGACTTTTTAGTTGCTCATGCATGGTTTATAGACAAGGCAATTCGTATGGGGTCCGCTCGACCTGTGCGGCAGCTGCAGGGCAAGCCTCCCTCCTCCTTCTACGCCCTCGAGATGCAGCTTGAAGCGAGCAACTACTTGGGCATTCTCAGCGACCCGGGTTCGACGGTGTACTACGTGACGCCAATGGATTTTGAGCCAGGGAGACGCGGCTGTTACATGGCGAGGATGTTGAGATTGGGGCGGGGCGTCATGCGCAAGCGCGGGATGTCACCAAAACAGCTTGCTGCAAGCCTGGCTGCAACGCCCATTGATGATAAGGAGTTCAAGGACCGCTTCCTCAAGCACAATAAGATGACAGAAACATCTTCCATGGCCAAGCTCCTGGCTCACCGCATATACTTGTCAGCTTTTATCCAGATCTTTTTTAAGATTGAATAGCCACTGGACCTTCATGCACCGTTTGTGATCTTTATTTATAATAAAAAGGTATAAAGGTATCATGTCTACAGCTTGAGGTAACAACTGAACTCTATAAATTAAATAATTGATATTATTTAATAGTATTATGAGCGAAGTGTATGTAGCGGGATCAAGATCTTCCAAGAGATGGAGCAGAAAGGCCACTCATTTCTATATATAAACTAAGGTTTTTGGGTTAATTGATATATACATTTTTATATTGCACACTTAAAAAGGCTTTATATGGATTAAAGTAATTTCCACGAGTCAAATACGACATATATTTATCTTGCACTCTATGTAGACGATTGTCTACTAGTCAGTCCAACTCGCATAGCTTTGCAGCAGCTCAAGCGTGAGCTACAGGCATGATTTAAGATGGTGGATCTTGGATCAGTGAAATATTGTTTGGGGATAAGTTTATATGCAACAGGCAGGCTGGTATCATACAATTATCTCAGCAGAAATATGTTGACGATATCTTGGAGAGGTTTCATCTTGCTGAGTTGAATGAAGGGTCAACTCCTATGGAAGCCGGCCTCCATCTCAGCAAAGATCAAGTCCCACAAACAGTTGAGAAATGCGAGAAGATAAAGCACATACCATGGTTGGCAGCTTGGTCTGCACACAGCCAGATTTGGCTTTTTCAGTGGGAGCAGTGTCCCAGTTTCTCAAGACTCCAGGATTTCCCCATTGGTTGGCAGTCAAACGCATCTTTCGCTACTTGAAGGGGACCTGACATTATGCACTCATGTACTCCAAAGTCCCAGCAGGTATGCAACTGTTTGGCTTCACGGATAGGTGAGGTTGAGCAGTCTGGTTATATTTTTAGTCTCGGCAGCGGCGCTATCACATGGTCCAGTAAGCGACAGTCAACTATAGCGTTATCGTCGACCGAAGCAGAGTGTATGTTGCAGCTACTCAAGCAGCTAAGGAATGTTGCTGGCTACGACAGCTTTTGGACGGCATCGGCTATTCTCAGCTAGCGCCAACAGTTATCTTTTGCGATAACCAGGGTGCTATCTCACTCACCAAGAATCCCAGGTACCATGGGCGTACCAAACATATCCAGGTGCAGTTCCATTATATTCGAGATCAAGTGAACCGAGCTCATCCATTGTGGAACAACAGAGAAGGTTGCAGATATTTTTACCAAGGCATTACCTCCAGGGATTCCAGTGCTGTGGTGCTACTGCAAGCCTTGAGAGCAGCCACGAAGCTCAAGACGTCGTGCTCGCAGCCTTGGGAGTCCAAGCACGAGAAGAGCTCCAGCGCCATCTCTCCTTCTCCACAGTCTGCGTACCCCATCATCAAAGAGTTCCACGAAACTGTGCCTCATCTCTGATAAGGATGAACAGAGTCTCGTTCATCACAAGAGGCTACAAAGGAACACATCCCCTTCGATGTCCCCTAACTGCCTACCGCGCCTCTAGAGAGCTCTGGAGAATATGCTATGCCAGCATATTCATATCACTCCCACTCGAGCACTAAGGTGCTCGCTCAAGGAGCTCTCTCACGCCAAGTGCTTCTCAGCTGCGAGGAATCGATCGAGCCAAGCGATCTGTCAGTGGTCAAGAACTGCCTGCTAAATGTCTACGGAAAATGCGGGAGCATGGTCGACGCTCAGATCGTTTTTGATTCGCTGGAGACGAGAAGCTCGCTCAACTGGAGCTCGGTGGTGGCAGGATATGGCCGCAAGGGAGACGCTCACTGGGTTTTAGAGATGTTTGACAATGTGAGTTTATGAGAATTGACTGCTTAGGGCTAACTATTGAAAATTTTAAAATTTATTGACCTAACTGTTGACCAATATTATTTACAATGAATCAATGTTTTTTTGTTTTCTCGAAACTTTGGAGCACAGACGAGGATGGAGAAGCTACTTCAAACGATCATCCTGGCGAGCCGCGAGAGCTGTCCACCAATTCTCACAAGCTCTTGGATCTCTTTTTAACGATCCGGCGAAGAACCACCAGTCTGGCCCTCCGGATGTCCCTGCTGCAGCAATCGACGTGCTCCTCCAGTTCGTCCAGATCCCGGATGAATGCGCTCTGCCGGCTCTTGAGCTGCTCCACCACCAGATGCATGCCAAAGCCGTCCGCGTGCCTCTGCCCAAACTGTATGCAGTGGACGATCGATTCCATGGAGTTCCTGAGGCTGTTGATGAGCGCTCGTATCGTGTCCATCTCCTTGATCGTCACAAACGTCTTGAAGTTCGCTTCTCTCATCAGATCCCGGCGTGCCTGGAGCTCCTTCTCGTACTTGGTGAGAAAGGACTTGATCCATCTTCCCAGGGTCTCGAGTGGCATCGACGATACCGCTGCCACCGCCCCTACGATCGCTGGGACTGTCATCACCGCCGCCACCACCGCACAGATCACCAGCGCCGCGCAAGTCGCAGCGTAGATGATCGTCGACACCTTCGTCCAGCCGCGGACATACCGCAGCTTCCTGTCCAGCGACTTCTTCTTCGCCTGAAGCTTTCTCTGCAGCTCCATCTGCTTCTGGTAGACGGTTTGGAACTTCTCCATGAACTCGTCCGTGAAGGGGTTGCCGGCGTCCACGTACTGGTTGAGCTCTTTGAGAATTGCCTGGCACTGCTCCTCGTTTGGATCTCCTTCGCTGGGCATCATGTTGATCGCTACCTGGATCGACATCTGGTTCTCCCTGGCCTGTTTGATACACTTGTTGAGCTCCTCGCAAAAGTCTAGCGTAGCCATGCTGTTGTCGAAGTAGTCCTTGACCAGCTCAAACAGCGAGTCGCTTGCCCACACGTCCTTCTTGTAGTTGAGAATTACGTTCACAACCTCCTGGTCGAGCTCTAAAAAGCTGGTGGTCACATCCTTTAACGATTGGAATGAAAGTCCCCTCTCGTCCACCCCGGCCGCCATGCTCTGGAGCACCCTCTCTGTTCGTTCCTTGAGCCCATCCCCAAACTTTCTCACGTCTGGATCCATGGCACATACTCTCTCGTACTCGCTGAGATCTATGCTGCTCAAACTTTCTCCTGGCGAGAGTGACCGGCTGCTCTGGTTACCCATTTCTTCTTTTTGCCCTGTTCTAAATTCCTGTAGGCCTACCTTCCTGTTGTAAAGTAAACCTTTCTCCAATTCCTGGCAACGACCCTGGCGATGATTGGTATCGATCGATCGATCTGAGAATCTATTCCATCAGCAACAGAGAGAGGCGTCCGGATGGATCAAGGCGCCCTCCTGTAGCACATAAACAAATATTTCGATGTCAAACCACAGCGTAGGGGAGAAATCGCAGAGAAATCCTCGCCCGAAGAGACCTAGACGATGAACAGCGGCGCATTGATGTCACAAGATCTAGAGAGACGATGCATGGAATACCTCCTGGATCGATATTTCTCCCAAGAAACCGATGAATGACGATGGGGTTTGTCGATCGAGGCCTGGAATGCCGCCGGCAACGAGCATTTAATCGCTCCCGACGCTTGCGATTGCGCGCTGGATCAATTTGCCTTTCCCGTTTGCTTGGCGAGCAAGGAGCGCCTAAACCCTGTGACGCAGCGCTCTAGCTGTGCTACGCGACAATGGACGATGGAAGAATGGATAGATTTCTCCTATCTAGAGCTCGAGAAACGGCTAGCAATCGCTGCATTGCTTGCTTGCGCCATCGCTCGATCGATCGGGAATAGGCGGCGTCCCGGGTAAGGGAGAAAGAGAAAATGAGAGTGGAATGAGAGAACAGTGTAAAGGCCTAGGGTGGACCTTATCCCACGAGAAAGCAACGCGTAGTAGAAAGCCTGGCTTTTTTCCCAGCCGTCGATTGTGTCCGAGCGGGAATGTCGAGGCACCGTCGCTGCCTGACACGTGTAGGGAGTAGAGAACTTTCTGACGGCCGCGTGGCGGGCGTGACGTGTCTGCTACCGTTAACGTGCCACCAATGGCCGTTTGGAATGCCGACGTGGACCGCTGCACCTCTCACGAAACGATCGGACGGCCCTCTTGGCGCCGTACTCAGAGTATATACTGGACAGCACGACGTACGGCATGGGATTCTCCGGGTCCAGCTGGAAGGCCCTCTCCGCCACGTCCCTGCCACGTGTGACGTCCACGTGAACCCGGCACGCGAAGAGCAGCGCCATGCACGTCACGAAATCGGCCTCGAAGGGCATGGAATCGACGAGCTGCGCCGCGAAATTGAGCCATCCGGATCGACCCAGGAGATCGATCATACACTGGTAGTGTTCTAGAAGTGGAATCTGATCGAAATCGCTGTGAATCGACACGAATTGATCACGCGCTTGGTCGAGGAGACCAACGCGGCTAAACGTCGAGAGGACGGCCATGAACGTCAGCCCATTGGGCGGGATTCCCTCCAATGTCATAAGCCGGTAGAGCTCGCGCGCCTCCGTGGCATGCCCACTCTGTGCGCACGCGCCAATCAGCGAGTTCCACGTGGCGGTATCCGGCGTGACTGTGCTCTCAAACGCACACCTGGCCTCCTCCACGCTGCCCCATTTTCCGTACATCTCCACCAGCGCATTGCCGATTCCAGCGTCTTGCTCGAGCCCTAGATTCGCGAATGTGGAGTGGACCAATTTCCCCAATCCAAGATCGCTGTAGACGATGGATTGATCGAGAACTGTGAGAAACGTTGCCTTATCTGGTTGTAAGCCCTCTAGATCCATGAGCTTGAACATCCGGATGGCGTCCATTCCCGCGCCATTCCGGGCATGAGCTGCGATCATGGCCGTCCACGACACCACGTTCTTCTCGGGTATTTTCTGGAATAGAATCTCCGCCTCGCGAATATGCCCTCTATTGGCATATGCCGTCACCAAGATGTTCCAGACGATGACGTTTCGTTGCGGCATCTGGTCGAACATTGCCCTTGCCTTGGAAAGATTCCCAACACGAGAATATCCCAGGACCATGACCGTCCACGTCACCACGTTGGGGCACGGCATCTTCTCGAACAGGGAATGTGCCTGTTGCATATTCCCAAGCTGGGCATATGCCGTTACGAGGATGGTCCAGGTGATAACGTTTGGATTTGGCATCTTTTGGAACATTTCGAATGCTTGGGCGATCATTCCATGGTGAGCGAGAGATTCTATTACAATATTCCATGATACGGTGTCACGAAATGGAGTTCCTTTGAACATATCTATTGCCTGATTGATCTCTCCAGCTCGGGCATAGAGCGTGATCATCGTGTTCCACGACACAGAATCCTTCTTGGGCATCTTATCGAAGAAGTCCACGGCCTGGAGCGGATTCGAAGAATCGCAAAGAGCCGAGAGGAGAACATTCCATGCGACTTGATCCTTGTGTGGAATCTTTTGGAAGAGTAGCATTGCTAGCTCGATCCGGCCATGCTGGGCCAGGGTTTTGAGCATCACTGTCCAGGACACAGCATCTCTCACTGCCATTCTCTCGAACAAAAGCATCGCCTCGTGGATATGCCCATTTTGGGCATATGCCGTGAGGAGAATATTCCAGGAGTGGGAATTTGGAGCTACCAAGGCGTCAAAGACGTGTTGTGCGCGCTCCAGGCATCCACACTTGCCATACATCTCAATGGTGAGATTGGCGAGATAAACATTCCTCCTATACTTGCTCCTGGCAATGCATACAACCACGCTCTTTCCCTCGGCTAAATCTCTCGACTCTCCGCAAGACTTTAGCAGCGAGGCATACGATTCGATTTCTTTGTTCTTGGTCGCCATTTGGCCATGAGCTTTGCTAGAGCGAAGACATGACCACTCGAACTCCCATAATCTTGACAAAGCTACGTCGCAACAATGGAAGATCATTAGAGACTCACGAAAAAACGGCATTCTTACCTCGGGAAAATTTGTCCAATGCTTATCAAGGCCAGTTTCGCGATCCAGAAACATCCACTTGGTGATCCTGGAAACAAGCACCACAAGTAGTTGCAACAAGCCAGACTATCGCACGTACCGTGAGGAAGAACAACTGAACTTTACGTCGTCGATGTTATGTATCGAGTTGCAAGCTGTCCAAACACTTCCCCTCGATGCTCAAAGTTGCGAAACTCGTCAAAACTGGCACAAGCTGGGCTGAGAAGAATAATATCTCCTGTAAAGATGATGAGATGAATAAAGAAAGCGTGCTTCCAGCAATGAATACCTTGTTTGGAGAGTTTCTCAGCTCTAGCTACAGCATCTTCCATGGTCAGGGAACGGAAGCACGGGATTGAAACGTTGGCTTCCTTCAACTCTTTCTCAATCTGTTCGCCAAATGCACCGAACTACAATGGGAAAACGTGAGTAGCATGGACACAGTTTTCCCGAGGCTTACTGTGACGATGGCCCTGTGATTTTGTAGGAGATCGCTTAGTTTCTTGAATCCAAGGCTTCCATCCTGATCAAGGACCTGCGAGCAAGAGAAATGACATGAGACGTTGTCACAGTTTTTAAAGTAGTTTTTAACTTACCTTTGCGAGACCTCCGAGGAGTATAACAGCTTTTCGATCGGCGAGGCCTTTGATGCCCGTGTAAGCTGCATCCACATTTGTGGCCTTGCTGTCGTTGATCCACAAAACACCTTTCTTGTCTTGTCCAACTAGAAGAACAAGCAATGAGAAACACAAAAAATGGAAAGCATACCAATTTGCATCCGATGAGGTAAAGGTGTGAGTTGTCCAATCGCTGCCTGTAGTTTGTGCTCGTCGACACCAACGTCCAGCGCGAGAGAGAGCAAGGAAGCAGTCGCAGCATTCTGAGCATTGTGGGAACCAACAGCTTTCAATCCACTGAGATATAATCGGGCTTCAGCTTTCGTTGTTGGAACCACCACGACGGCTCGCCTTGCCTGGCTATCAAGCTGAGAAATGAGAAGACAAATTAGCACAACTTAGCAGCACATCGAAAGAGAAATACGGAATAAAAAACCGGAACACCTGAATGCCAGGGAGTGCTCCAAGCCAGGCCTTGGTGCTGCCACTGTTATACTTATATGCAACCTTTCTCAGGAACTCGTCTGCTGTGGAAAACTCATGTCAACATGGAAAGTATTAAAGACACCATAGTTATATCGATTTCAATGTCCAGACGCAAGAAAGTCTTACCATGAGGAATGATGGATAACTTCGAGGAATCCATACGCTCAAACAGCCGGCACTTTGTCTCGCCATAGTTTTCCATGCTCTTGTGGCGCTCCAAGTGGTCGGGCGACAAGTTAAGAATCACGCCAACCTGCGCATCACAAAACAGTAAAAACTCAAAATGCAAGGAAGGGCGGTACTCACAGACGGGGAAAAAGATCCCGGAAGCTCCAGTTGATAGCTGCTAACTTCTAAAACCGCTGCCTGGAGTTAGCCACCGTATGAAGAAACGATACCAAAAACTTCAAGCACTTACCTGGTAAGGAGGATCGTCGGAAGGGAACTTAAAACACTCGCATGCAGCATCAGAGAATGGTGTCCCGAGATTTCCTCCTATGAAAGTCCGCACTCCAGCTTGCTGCAAAATCTATTCCACCACGAAATCTGTGCTATGGACAAGAGGAGATAAAAAGCGAGCAACAACCAACTTTACCTGACCAGTAAAGGTCGTGACCGTAGATTTTCCGTTGGTGCCTGTCACAGCAGCAATTTTCACAGCTTTCGGGAACGCTTCAGCAGCAAGTCCGAGCTCCGAGATCGTTGGAATGCCCTGGAAATATTTTTTTCTAGGAGCTCCGTTGATACTCAAAAAACGAACTTACCGAGTCCATGGCATAGGCGAGAATGGGCTCGCTAAGTGGAACTCCTGGCGAGACAACAATTCTGGAAGCACTGAGGAACGTTTCCAGTTGATGAGGACCGAGCTCGGTGCTGACCCGATCCATTTCATAGCCATGGAATGCAGGATCTTCCTTGAAAGAAAAAAATTTCTAGCACGAGAAAACAAAACTCCACTTTACCTTGAGAGGCGCAAGCTTGTCATTCTTGTCCACGGCAATGACACTGGCTCCACGAAGCAGGGCAAGCCTGATCGCAGCCCTGCCGGAGGAACCCAATCCAACCACCTGTGAGAGGCGAAGGAATGTGAATCCATATGAAGCAATGCTTACCACAACGCGCTTGCCGGAGAGATCGAGCCGAGCGCTAGGCGCGCAGCAAAGCCATGGCGCTGTAGCCATAATAAACCCAAATATAAGGTTTTGCCAACAGTGATCATTTGGAATTTGATTGAATTTAGAGGAAAGTTTCATTTTATCAAAGTTTTCATTGATGCACCTTGACCGAGAACAAACTGTGCTATAGTGTAAGCATTCATAGAAACACTGCCAGCTCCTATGGTGTGCCCTTCATTAAGGGTGGATGTTTTTGTGGTGGATTTCACTCACAATGTGGCATTTTTCTATTGGTTTGTCATTAAATTTCAATCTCATTGCAATGGATGCACCATGAATGCTGGCCTAATGGGTCGATGATGTTCCCATAATATGAACATTGTGCTATACATAGATGCCATATATCGGGATTCATCGGGTTTTCTGCATAAGTACCATATAAGGGATTTACAAGGATATATAATTCTTCTCAGCCCCTAAATAAATAAATTAGATTCCCGCTTGGACGGCTGGGATAAAAGCTAGGCTTTCTACAACCCGTTCGTGGGGTAAGGTCCACCCTGGGCCCTTTACACTGTTCTCTCATTCCCTTCTCATTTTCTCTTTCTCCCTTACCGGGACGCCGCCTATTCCCGATCGATCGAGCGATGGCGCAAGCAAGCAATGCAGCGATTGCTAGCCGTTTCTCGAGCTCTAGATAGGAGAAATCTCATCGTCCATTGTCCCGTAGCACAGCTAGAGGGCTGCGTCACAGGGTTTAGGCGCTCGTTGCTCGCCAAGCAAACGGGAAAGGCAGATTGATCCAGCGCGCAATCGCAAGCGTCGGGAGGGGGCGCAATGCTCGTTGCCGGCGGCATTCCAGGCCATCGACAAATCCCATCGCCATTCATCGGTTTCTTGGGAGAAATATCGATCCAGGAGCTGCATCGTCTCTCTGGATCTGCTGTTCATCGTCTAGGTCTCTTCGGGCGAGGATTTCTCTGCGATTTCTCCCCTACGCTGCGGTTTGACCTCGAAATATTTGTCTATGTGCTACAGGAGGGCGCCTTGATCCATCCGGACGCCTCTCTCTGTCGCTGATGGAATAGTCGATCGATCGATACCAATCATCGCCAGGTTCGTTGCCAGGAAAGGGAGAAAGGGTTACTTTAGAACAGGAAGGTAGGCCTACAGGAATTTAGAACAGGGAAGGAAGTAGACAAGGAAAAAGAAGAAATGGGTAACCAGAGCAGCCGGTCACTCTCGCCAGGAGAAAGTTTGAGCAGCATAGATCTCAGCGAGTACGAGAGAGTATGTGCCATGGATCCAGACGTGAGAAAATTTGGGGATGGGCTCAAGGAACGAACAGAGAGGGTGCTCCAGAGCATGGCGGCCGGGGTGGACGAGAGGGGACTTTCATTCCAGTCGTTAAAGGATGTGACCACCAGCTTTTTAGAGCTCGACCAGGAGGTTGTGAACGTAATTCTCAACTACAAGAAGGACGTGTGGGCAAGCGACTCGCTGTTTGAGCTGGTCAAGGACTACTTCGACAACAGCATGGCTACGCTAGACTTTTGCGAGGAGCTAAACAAGTGTATCAAACAGGCCAGGGAGAACCAGATGTCGATCCAGGTAGCGATCAACATGATGCCCAACGAAGGAGATCCAAGCGAGGAGCAGTGCCAGGCAATTCTCAAAGAGCTCAACCAGTACGTGGACGCCGGCAACCCCTTCACGGACGAGTTCATGGAGAAGTTCCAGATCGTCTACCAGAGGCAGATGGAGCTGCAGAGAAAGCTTCAGGCGAAGAAGAAGTCGCTGGACAGGAAGCTGCGGTATGTCCGCGGCTGGACGAAGGTGTCGACGATCATCTACGCTGCGACTTGCGCGGCGCTGGTGATCTGTGCGGTGGTGGCGGCGGTGATGACAGTCCCAGCGATCGTAGGGGCGGTGGCAGCGGTATCGTCGATGCCACTCGAGACCCTGGGAAGATGGATCAAGTCCTTCCTCACCAAGTACGAGAAGGAGCTCCAGGCACGCCGGGATCTGATGAGAGAAGCGAACTTGAAGACGTTTGTGACGATCAAGGAGATGGACACGATACGAGCGCTCATCAACAGCCTCAGCAACTCCATGGAATCGATCGTCCACTGCATACAGTTTGGGCAGAGGCACGCGGACGGCTTTGGCATGCATCTGGTGGTGGAGCAGCTCAAGAGCCGGCAGAGCGCATTCATCCGGGATCTGGACGAACTGGAGGAGCACGTCGATCGCTGCAGCAGGGACATCCGGAGGGCCAGATTGGTGGTTCTTCGCCGGATCGTCAAGAAGAGATCCGGGAGAATTGGTTTTCAGCTCTGCTTTTGCTCGCCAGGATGATCGTTTGAAGCAGCTTCTCCATCCTCCAAAGTTGGGGAGAAAACAAAAAAACATTGATTCATTGTATATATATTGGTCAACAGTTAGGTCAATAGTTTAAAATTTTCATAGTTAGCCCTACGGTCATGGAAACTCACAACTTTGGGTCGATTTAAAATGGGTCAAAGCCCATGCTAGGGCGAGGAGGATGGAGGAGGAGATGGAGCATCTCTGGCCACCGCCATTGCAGCACAGGCAACGCTGGCAACAAGGTGAGCACATCGATTCTCCTCTCGCGCCTCAAGGCGTGCACCAGCTCCGGCGACATCAAGGCTGGGCGGATCCTCCACGCCCGGGCCAAGAGCAGCGGCGACGATGCCAACATCCACGTCGCCACCGCGCTCGTCAATCTCTACTGCAAATCCGGCTGCCTGGCCGAGGCTCGATCGGTCTTTGAGGCAATGCCGGCCAAGAGCACCGTCGCCTCCACGGCGCTCATGCTGGGATACATCGAGGGCGACCAATCCGGCGTGGCAATGGAGCTCTTCTCGCGGATGATCATTGGCGGCTGCGATCCAGACGCGAGAGCTTTCGTGGCGGCGCTGAAGGCCTGCGCTGGATTCGCGAGCTCCTCCAAAGACAGCACGCTGGAGAGGGGATTGGAGATTCACAGGGAGGCTTCCAGGCGTGGCTACGCGGGGGATATCTTCGTCGCCAACACTGCTATGGATCTCTTCTCGCGCTGCGGTGGTATGGTGGAAGCCAAGAGAGTTTTCGATGGCATCGCGTCTTTGTCCAGGAATGTGGTCTCGTGGACGGTGCTTGTAGCTGGCTATGCCGAGAATGGATGCGGCGAGGCTGGACTGGAAGTCTTCTCGAGGATGATGAGCGATCCAGCAAGAATTCGTCCGGACGCACTTACTTTCGTGGCTGCTGTGAAGTCCGTGACGAGCATGGCAGTGGCACTCACGAAAAAAGCTTCCAGCTCCAAGAACTTCTCATCGAAGGTGTTGGTTTTGGAGAAGGGGATGGAAATCCACTTGATGGCTGCCAAGGCTGGAGTGGACTCACACTTGGTTCTTTCCAACTCGCTCGTGGATATGTATTCCAAGTGTGGGGATCTGGCTGGAGCTGTGCGCGTTTTCGAAAAGATGGCCGAGCACAGCGTGGTTTCCTGGACTTCTCTGGTGCTGGGATTCGTCGACAATGGCGAAGACGAGCTCGCGCTGGAACTATTCGACGCGATGACGCGGGTGGAAGGCTGTGTCCCCGACGCTCCTTCGATCGTTGCTGCTCTCAAAGCTTGCGCGAGTGCAGCGGCGAAAGAGGAAGGAAGAACTTTGCCGGGAGTGAAGGTGGTGGTGAAGCTCGAGGCTTTGGAGAGATCAATGGCGATTCATTCGCAGGCTGCTCGGTCGAGGAACCTGGATCGAGATGTCCGTGTTGGAAACATGCTGGTGGATCTGTATGCCAAGTGTGGCAGCGTTTTGGATTCCCGGAGAGTCTTCGACGTGGAGATGAGGCACAGGGACGTGGTTTCGTGGAACTCTTTGATGATGGGATACGCAGACTGTGGAGAGGGAGAGATGGCACTGGAGCTCTTCTCGTGCTTGGACTCCCAGGGCTGCGAGCACGACGTCTTGAGCTTCGTGGCTGCTCTCAAGGCTTGCAGTAGCACCACAGCACTGGAATCCGCCAAGAAGATCCATGCCAGAGTTCTCAGCTGCGAGGAATCGATCGAGCCGAGCGACCTGTCAGTGGTCAAGAACTGCCTGCTGGATGTCTACGGAAAATGCGGGAGCATGGTCGACGCTCAGATCGTTTTTGATTCGCTGGAGACGAGAAGCTCGCTCAACTGGAGCTCGGTGGTGGCAGGATATGGCCGCAAGGGAGACGCTCGCTGGGTTTTCGAGATGTTTGACAAGATGGTCGAGGAAGGCTGGGTTCCAGACAGAGTTTCGTGCCTTTCAGTGCTTACAGCGTGCAGTCACGCCGGATTGATCGACAGGGGGAAGAAGTTTTTCCAGAGAATGAGCTCGCAGTGGAGAGTAAGCTTGTCTCTAGAGCACTACCGCTGCGTGATTGATATGCTGGGGCGAGCGAACGAGCTCGAGCAAGCGTTGGCTATGGTGGAGAGGATGGAGTTTAGAGCCGATGCTTTGACGTGGAGAACAGTGTTGGGAGCTTGTTGGAAGTGGAAGAATGCTGTGGTGGGAAGAAGAGTGTTTGAGGAGCTTGTGAAGCTGGATAAAAGAGACTATGCTGCTTATGTTCTTATGGGAAATATTTATGGAAGCCTGGGAATGAGGGATGAGCAGGCATTAGTGGAGAGGATGAAAACCTCTTAAAAACAAGTAAGAAGTCACCTTGCATGGTTGCAACTCGTGAAAGAAAAAGGCATGTAGATGGGAGAGTATGAATAGATGATAAGAGTTGAGATGCTAAAGAGAAAATTGATGGAAGAACAGATGAAAAAGGAGACGAGAATAGGAATACAGTGTGAAGTTTGAAAACATAAAGTAAAAAAGGGAAAAACTGAGAAAATGGAAAAAGAAAAAAATGACAAAAGCTAAAGTTACTAAACTTGAAAACTAATATTGCTTTGTAAATACCTTTGGCTGATCACGGTTGTGCAACAATATGCTCGAGCAGCTGAAGCAAATCTATGGAGCTGCTACAAGTGATCCTAGGAAAGGATTCTTCTGCCGCTTTCCAGGCTTCGTTCGGCATCTCGATCCACTTCCAGAGCGCTGGAACGTAAGAAGTTGCTGGTTTGTTCATGCATTTGCAGGAAGAAGACTTTGGTTGACGATCTCGCGTCTGTTGTCAATTGGGATAACGTTGCCCCCGCTGCGTAGGGAGAAGACTTAAACCTGCGAGGTACATCATGCCATGTTTGCGAGGAGGGGAGCTCACGCGACGCGACGGTGGAGACCGTCGTGCCGTGTCGCGAGAAGCTCGGGGTTGCTCAGCCTGGTCGACACCATCCTGGCGTTCATGTGTCTTGAACTCCTGCAATCACTCCATACGCCTAGACTGCGCATCGTTAGGATGACTTTGGAGAATGGTCGAGCAGGGAGTGTTACCCGATGAGATCACGTAATCAAGGAATGACTTCCAAGGCCGTCTCCCAAGGATTTGTGGTGCTAGAGCTTGCATCACAGTTGCGAACTCGCTCATCAATCGTGCAAGCTCTTGTTTTCTTGGCAGATGACACTGTCCAACGTCTTGAGCGCATGTTCGTTGCTCATGCTCGTGTGCGTTGCTTGTGGATATCAACTGATGTTGGCGGCTGTAATTCTCTCATGAGCATGTATAGCAAGAGATCACGTTGCTTGGACTGCAACAGTCACTGATCGTCATCACTTACAGTTAGAACTTTTTAGTTGGGATGTAAATGGATGATTGGAAAAGTGTGTGAAAAATTATTGCTTTCCCATTATCAGTTCAGAGTTCAAATGAAAAGAGATGAGAAGAAGGAATATATTGCCATGAAAAGTTTCCAGGCACCCCGTCAATGTTCTCGAGCGACAGGAGTGGCTTGATATCACTGAAGTGCTCGTGAAGAAACCCGAACTGCATAGTTTTCTCCCGCTCCTTCTCGTCGATCTTCTCGGGAAGCTCCAACTTCACGTAATACTCCACCCCGGGTATCACAACCTTGCGTAACACGTCCTCCGTCATGATCTTCCACACACCATAGCTGGGAAGAATGTAAGCGATGATCGTGTCCGGCGGTACATGGCCATCGCGCTCCTTGATCTTTGTCTGTCTAGTCCTCGTCTTTCCTTTTATTTCTTCCAGTTGCCACTCTAAAGGGACTCCAAGGGCTCATGAAGCTAGATGGTCTTCCAAACAATGAAGTGAAATGAAACGGAGGAGTTTCGTCTAGAGTCGATTCGATCCAGGACTGGAAATTCTTTTGATTTGGATCGAGCAGAAGTACGAAGAACCCAGATCCAAGGTTTTGTATGAAACTCCTATCTTGTGTGGTTCCATGGTTGTATGGTTGTGTATTCGATTTGATAATGTGTGTAGAGAATTCTAGAGATGTGATGTTATAACACACACACAAATTTCCAGCCGTTGCTATATTCTTTTTTCCTTAATTTTTGTGTGGTGGCGTGAGAGGGTGAAGCCAAGGTCGCGGGTACGATCCTCTTGTCTGACACTCGCCCTAAGTTCTTCCATTCTTTCTTCTTCTCTCTCCAGGCGGCAGGGCTCCTCCTCCCGGGATCGTGGATGCGGCTCCTCCAGCAGTGAGATTCTCGGATTTTTGCCGCGGCGCATCCTGGCGGGATGTGAGAATTTTTCTCGCTTCTCGATCGATCGACAGGAATGCCGCTCCGGACGAATGAGGCTGGGAAATGTGGCTGCTGCTTGTAGCAGTCGGCTCCGGATGTCTCGCGAGGCGCTGGCGCCATGGATCATCGCAGCGGCGGGGGCAGCTGGAGCAAGACGAGAAGCATCACGAGCAGGAAGACGAAGATGGATGCCCTAGCGAGGAGCAGCAGGTATTTGATCTCGGTTCCTCGCCGGGACAGGACGCCGGCGATGGCGGCGCAATCGCAATGGTAGAATTCGAGGAGGAGATGCTCAAGAAGAAGGAGAAGAATGCTTTGCAGCAGATGGATCCAGTGGCAGTGGCGAGGAGGATATCGACCAAGAAGCTGTTTGATGGGGAGGAAGATCACGGTCACACTAGTCCCAAGCCGCCCGGGACGACCAAAACGACGACCACTACTGTTACTACTGCATCCAGTGATCCTCCACAGGCTGCTGTAGAGACTTCTAGGACCCAACTGGAGATCGAGAGCGCTAGCGCGGTGCCTGTAGTGGCTGCCGGGAAGAGGGCGATCGAGTTTAGCAAGCACGCAATGCATGAAGGTGATCTAGCAGGAATCGAGGTGAAGAGAAAGAGAGATTCTAGCGAGCTTGTAGCGGGGCAGCCGCAAGAGCAGGGACTTCTCAGCTCGTTTACGTGCAGCTTCATGGACAATCCCGGGTTGACGGATCTCTGGTTTGCTCCACGAGAAGGAGACGCTGCCAGGATTCGGAAGTTCAAGACTCCGAGCCGGCAGAGGTCGAGGGGACTGGGACGCAGGGCGAGGTACTTGCGTGCGTCGCCAAAGCCGGTTTCTTCGATGGAGAGTTGCTTGAGCGCGCAGCTACATTTCGACGAGGACAAGCGAGTCTCTCGCTCTTTGTTTTTCCAGCCGTTTCAGGAAGGGAGAACTCCTGGCCTTGGCGAAGTTGAGGTGTTGGGAACAGGGACTGGCTCTGGTCTTCGTAGAAACTCTATGCATTTTCCACCATTTTCGAGACCGTTTGCACGGAAGAATTTTAAAAAGCACTTCAAAGCTGGAGGTAAGTTTCTGTTCTTCGCTTCTTTTTCTTTCACTGTTACTTACTTTTGGGAGGTGATTTATTTCTTCTTCTTTGCAGATGATCCTCCACAAGAAGCTCTGCTGTTTAGTTTCGGGGTTGGCATTGGTGTGATGCACATGGTCACGACGAACAACGCTGAAATTGAGAGGCTGCGAAAATGCTTGGCAGAGGCCGAGAATTTAGTCCAGGTGTTGCAGCGAGCAGCAGACCGCGGTGCGGTCGAACGTTCTACGGGCCTAGACTCTGCTGGGAGTAATCTGACGACGGAACAGCAGGGAAACATGGCCGAGTTGGAAGCGCAACTTGAAGCTGAATTGGAGTTGATGCAGCTTAACTCGAACGATTCGACCGAGGAGGAAAGCCATTTTTATTTTGTTTGTTTTCGTTTTTGTACTGAAATTTTCTGCGCGTATGTCTGCAGCTGGATGCCGAAGTGGTACATAGCGAACTGAACGCCAGTGGTTTGCCTGGAGTTTCAGACATTGACGAGGACGATAAGAATCACTCCCATGGTGAGGGGAACACCACAAACTGGGCGGTTTCTCCAAGAGAGCTTGATCGAAGGCTCAGAATGCTCATCGAAACCAGGCAAGAGGAGCGCATTGCCCAGCTAGAAGAAGACCTCCAACATGCTGAAAACCAGCTTCACGACACAGAGATGGAGCTTCAAATGTGGAAAGACCGTGTCTTTCGCTTGACAGGGATGACTCTGTCGACCTCAGGTATGGCTCTTCGTCTTCTATTTACTCCCCAACCTTTTGTCTACTGTAGGGAACAAGGAAGAAAATTCATTCGATCGCTGCAAGCCTGGAGAGCAGAGCCCCTCGGAAGACATCTGTGACGAGTTCCTCAAGTCTGTATTTCTTAGCCGCCAAAACTCGCTCAGGGATCAGGCTGGTGCTTCGAGCTGCAGCATTTCCGAGTGTGGAGAAAGCTGGCAACGGCAAGCTTCCGGCACCACCCCGGAGAATTATCTCAGTGGAGGAGCAGGCATGGACATCGAGCCGGGAGGCTTCCAGCACAATCGAAACAGCAGCACCGACTTGGAGCAGGAGAGAAAAACCACGCCACCATGGAGCTACAGCAGTGTTTTCGCGGTCACCCACGCGGGTTCTACCACTCCGATCCAAGACGTGCGCTCCAGCAAGCTCTTCAACACACCCCGGGCTCTCAGATTGCGAAACGGTGCGCTGGTGCTGGACAAGATACGGTACTGGGAAAACCTCGCCAGGGGCAGCGTCAAGTCGGAGGCTCACACACCTCCAGCGGAGGAAGAAAACGCGACGCAGGGGAACGATCAGAGCTCTCCTCCGGTGCGATTCAGCTGCTCCGATGGCTCCTCCCGCGACGATAGCTCGGCGTCCGATACGGAAGAAGGCGGGCAGGGTCACGTTTTGATCAAGAGGATCGTCGAGAAGTCGAGGAAAGGATCGACGCTGCTCAAAGACGTGGAGAGAATGCTGGCTGCGCTAGATAGTGAGTGACCGTCGTCTTTTTTTTCTTTATTTTTTTCGTTTTTTTTCCGTTCTAAGCTCTTCCCTGTACATCAAAGTTTACGCAAGTTTTGTAAAGCCCACAAAGAAGAAAGAAGAAGAAAAAAATATTTCTTTGACACCTCTAAGCTTGATCTTGCGTTTCTAGAAAATAATTTCGGGTGAATCGGCCAAAAAACCGTCCACCAGCATCTTAACATCGTCGTTAACCTTTCGCTTCTTCTTGTCGACTCTAACTTTCTTCTCGCGCGCGCGCTCTCTCGCGTTGATCTTGAAAGCTCCAAACTGGGGGTGATCGCTGAGGACATACTCCACCAGCGAGAAGCTCAAATCGCTGCTGTGCTGCTCGGTAGCGATGTAAGACAAGTTACGCTTCTCCACTTTGAGGCCGCGGAGGACAAAGCTTTCCTGCTTGCCTTGCTGCTTCCAGTGGCAGCCCTCGATCGTGGTGTTGTCTCGCTGGGATGATCGCTTCCATTTCAATGGCGCGATCAAGGTGATCGTGCTGGAGCCTGTGGCAACCGATCAATCGCTAGACAATGAGAGACGGGAAGGAATACCTGGTGTGATCACATTCCAGGGGTGTTTGCTGAAAAAGTTTGTATCCGGTATGATCTCGTTGATCCTCTGGTTAGAAATCCAGTCCTCCAAGCACTCAACGATTCGATCCGCGCTCAGTACATCGGGACGTCTCTGATCACAAACCCAAAAGAAAAACAAGAGTGGAGCTTTCGCTTTCCAGCCGAAATCCAGAGAGCACGAACCTTTCCTTGCGAGCGCGAGAGTTTTGCGTGAGACCATCTACAGAAATCGTGGACCCGTATGCCGCCCGACGCTGTTGTCTCCACACACACCGGGAGATCGCATCCCGGAAGCTCGCATTTCCTGGCGACGATGCTCTGCGTCTGATCGAGGCACTCCAAGGCGTGGCGCTTGCAGCAGAAGTCGTGATCGCCGCTCCACACTGGATGGTTGCAAGACGAGAGCTGGCAGCGGCCATCGAGCTTTGGCGGATTGAGCAGCAGTCCATTGTTGCGACGCACCATCTCCATCAGGTGATGGGTTTTTCCGCAGCATTCGTGCTGCTTGCCACTGCTCTCTTCAAAGAATGCGAGCTTCGTGCAGCCCGGAAGAGCACACGGAATCGCTGCTCCGCTCGCTGCCATAGAGGAGTGGAAGAAACGCTTCTCTCCTCTCAGCTTTACTAAAAATTTGCCTTAAATTTTTATGGCCTTAATGGATTTTTTGTTGGATATCGTACCTTTCTAATCTTTAGATTTAGCCAAAGGTTTGCAGTACGAATCTTTTCTAGATCCAACGTTTCCATGGTACGTAAATCAATCGTCTTAGGTTTGTAGATCACTACTTTGATTTGATTAAGTCATCTTTATACCACCACAAAATTTTATTCTAACATTGGTGATAGAATTTTATCAAATTTACCCTTGGAAGTGGATGTTTGAGAGAAGAACATAAGAGCTAGGGCAAGAGGGTTCTAATTGTAAAGCTCTCTCTGCAGCACTACTTCCCTGTTCTAGATCACTACTTGTGTGACACGCACCAAGAACAGAGGTCCAGGCCATACAATCTGCTTGGTAAGGCATAGCCGCAATCACATCCCTCGCATCTCTCAGCCTCCCTGCCCTCCCTAATGCATCGATCAGGCACCGGTAGTGATTGGCACTTCTCTCCAACCCGAAGTCCATGGAGATGGAAGCGAATTTGGTGATGGCGTCGGGCATGAATCCGCCATGGCCGCACGCGGACAGCACGCTCACGAAGCTGATCTCGTCCAGCTCGAATCCCCTGAGATTCATCGCCGGGAAGAGATCCAAGGCGAGATTGTTTTGGCCACCGCGGGTGTAGATGGCAATCATCGCGTTCCAGGATTCGGTGCTGGGATCTGGCAACCGATCGAAGAGGCTCTTGGCCTCTGTCAATCTCCCGCATCTGCCATAGAGATTGAGAAGCGCGTTGCTTAAGACTTGGTCGGATTGGTACCCGAGGTGGATGATCTCCTGGTGTAGGAGCTTTCCTCGTGCTAGATCGCTCCCATCGGCACAGGCATCCACTACTGTGATGAAGCTCACGGCGTCAGGCTGGATTCCTTCCAGATCCATGGCGCTGAAGAGCTGTATTGCCTCGAGAGATTGTTGGCTCTTGGAGTACGCGACGAGCATTGCAGTCCACGAGACGATATTTCGATCGGGCATGGCGTCGAAGAGATTCTTTGCCTGCTCAAATTGCCCACTCTCGGCATACGCTGCTAGCATCGCCGTGGACGAGATCACATTAAGCTCGGGCATCTGATCATGCAAAGCTCTAGCGCGATCAATCTCCCCGGCTTCTAAGAACCCTAACAAGAGCGCCGTCCAGGAGAGAGCGTTGCGCTCGGGCATGGAGTGGAACATTGACATGGCTTGCGGCAATTGGCCGTTCTGGGCATATGCTGCCACCATGGCAGTCCACGTCACGAGGTTCCTCTCCGGGATGGCATCAAAGAGCCGTTGGGCCTCTGCCAGCTCGGAACAGTCGGCGTACGCAACGATAATGGTCGTCCACGTCACTACGTTCCGTGCTGGCATTTCCTCGAACGTCGATCTTGCCCGAGCGAGATCTCCACCGTTGGCAAACGCGGCCATGAGCGTCGTCCACGACACCACGTTGTGCTCGGGCATCTCCTGGAAGAGACGCTGGGCGGGATGCAAATGCCCGGCCTGGGAATATGCGGCGAGCATTGCGTTCCAGGATACCAGGTCCCTTTCGGGCATATTCTCGAAGATGCCGCTGGCTTCGTGGATCTGGCCATTGGCGACGCACGCCTGGAAGAGGATGTTCCAGGAGAAGCGATTAGGGATTGGGATGGCGGCGAAGGCGCGGCGCGCGTCGTCTAGGCGGCCGCAGCGGCCATACATCTCGATGACGAGATTGTGAAGGTAGATGCTCGGTAATCCGCGAACGCTGTCGTGAATCTGCCGTGCCGTGACGATGTCATCGCAGGATTTGATCGATCGGGCCCAGGCGGCGTCGGGAGATTGCTCCATCGCAGCCGCATTGGGAAATATTTCGGTGGGAGAGGCTCGCGATTCCGTGGCGGGGACGAAGGCGCCTGGCAAGAAATGCGGCATTTCGACGCCTCCACCGGCATTTGCAGGTAAGATGTGGATGCCTGATCGATAATCAATCGCGATTTCTTCGCATGATTTCTTTGCTTTCTTGAGTGATGGCTTCTTTCTTCTCTACACATTGCTTAGGTGTTCTTCCTGGTTTTTCTCTCGTCCATTCGCTGGCTGTCTTGTTCCACACGCTCTAGCGTGGCGGCGAGATTACGCTAAGAAATTTGGTGCCTAAGGTTTTAGGGCTTTAGGGCTCTCGTGCACGCTCTTCCTCTTTGGGTTGCTGACGCATCTGTCTGTAGGGACATCCTAGATTCTCGCGCAGGACAAGTGATTATCTCCAAGGAGCAGCAACAAGTAGCACCGATGAGCGCATCATTAAAACCAAGTAAGCTGCTTCATCTTTGGCTTGAGAGCTCACGAGAGAGGCTATGTAAGCACTGAGCTATGGCTGCATTCCTTGCTTCTACGAGGTTCTCATGGGTGTATGCCTTGTTTCAGCTCATGTATGGTCAGCCGTGTCGAGATGGCTCCGGTGGCAAGGCGGGGATGACAATGTAGCCGAGACGTCCGTGGTGCTGGATGTGGAGCAAGAGTACCAGAGGGCGATCAGGACGGATTCGTATGTGGAGTTTGCGGAGAGGGTGGCCGTGGCTCGACTAAACAGGGAGACTGGAACTAGTGTTCAGGGGTCCGTCTCGCCAATGCCGAGATCGTTCGAGCGGCTTGCTGCCGCCTTGCTGGAGCCCGAAGAGGATAAGATCCTTGCGCTTCTCACCACGAACAAGGAGTTGGGGAAGAGACCCGAGATCCATCAGCTGGTTTCCGAGTACCTGGAGGAGAGCCGGAAGTCGTCCGCGCTCTGGGCTTCGCTCCTCAAGAGCATCCAAAGCTCCCGGGACAGGTGCCAGGAGATTGGTGGCATCCTCAAGAGCCAGACAAGCGACCAAGAGATCTTACGCGAGCTTTGCTCCATCGACGAGGGTGAGAATCTCTTCTCGGTAGCGGTGGTGCAGCAGTTCCAGCCGCTCCACGACCATTGCCTCGGCATGCAGAAGAAGCTGGACAAGATCCGGAAGAAAGTCGGGAAGAAGCTCCGGCTCACAAGGGCGTGCCTCAAGGTCTCGACGGTGATCTTGTCCATTGGTTGCTTCATCGTGCTCCTGGTGACGACGCTTGCGCTGTTCCTGGCGGTGGCGGCGCTTGTCGTCGGCTGCAAAGTCTTCACGTTCCCGATCGGCTACGTGGTCCGGCGCCTCAATCTCCGCAAGAGGAAGAAGCTCAACGCTCTCGAGAGGCAGTGGAGGCAAGTGGAAGCCGTGAGCCAGGGGACTTTCGTGGTGGTCCAGGATCTAGACACGACGAGGAGGCTGGTGATGAGGCTGGGCAGCGAGATCGACTTCACCAACAAGGCGGTGGCGTTCTCGATCCGGCACCGCGAAGATCGATCGATGCTCAGCCAGTCGCTGGAGCGATTGAGGCGGAACCAAATGATTCTAAGCCAGCTCTTGGACGATCTCGAGGTGAACATCTACCTCTCCTTCATGAGCATCAACAACACTCGCCGAGAAGTTTGCAGGCAGTGAAAAAAACACTCGAGCCAAGAATATTCTACAGGACCCGAATATTCGGCTACTGGTCAGCGGTGCCGTACTTTTGACCGTACGGCCGCGTGCGTTTAGAAATTGTTCCAGAATATGCAGTCCACGAATCCAGCTGTATCTCGGGGAGTGGCACGTGTCAGGCAATCGTTTGCTCCGTAACACCGGTAACTAACACTGGTTAAAGTTTTGGCGAGCCGTGGTGGCCGTTTGAAGGCACAAACCTCGCGTCGCGCGGTTTGCGCCCCGCGCGATTTGATGGGCTGCGACCTCTTCATTCTATTCATTCTCTTGTTCATTCCACTCTCTCTCTTTTTCTGCCCATTTCTTTCTTGATCCACCGCCGGGGTTTTCGATCGATCGCCAAGAAGCGCTGCGGAGACGCGCATTTCGACCCTCGGCGGTAAGATTTGTGGCCGATGCGTTTTGTTGCGAGGCAAGAATCTTGCTTCCCTAGCTCGTCTTCCGTCCATCGGCCAGATGAGAAGATTCGAGCTCCAAAAGCCGGAGAAATGCTGTGAGGAGGCTCGGATTTCGGGATCTTTCTTCGAGAATGCAGGTCGAGGGGATGGATTGGCCCTAGGAAGTGGGAGTGGTTTCACGTAGCATAGAATTTCTAGAAAGGGAGCTGTACATACTAGTCTAGATTAGCATCCCAGTCTTTAGCACTCGAATGCTTTGGCGATGGCTCGCAGCGATCCGGATTGGGCTTCGTGGCACGATGATTCCTTCAAGCTGGATGCCGATTCTCCATTGGGTATAGCATTTGAGTTACATTTCATTTTCACGTGAGAGCTGACGACTTTACTTCTTTTTTTTTTTAGCTATTTCTCGATCACTCTGGGATGAGCTCTCGCAAAGTGAGGCGGATTCGCGAACTTTGTTCGCCTCGACGCCTGCGGCGGACATTACTGAGCCATTTCTATCATCTTTGTCTCATCCAGGTGCGAAGTTTATCCTTTTGGCTTCTTTCTCAAGTCGTATCTTTGATGCACAGGCGGCTCTCAAAACCACTGTGATGAGCAAGATAGCCCTCGCCAGAAGAGGAGACGAATGCTTTTCTTCTCGGGACTACAACCGCAGGAGGGCTCATCAATCCAAGACTACGAGGTACAATTCAAAGCGACCTTTAGTCAGCTAAAGTTTTAATGTTCTGTAGATCTCAGAGCGTGCTCAAGAAAACCCGTCTTGGTGCCAAGGTACGGTTTGTAAGGTCAGTTAACTTCTTGGTAATTTTGCCATGCAGAGGATTCTCTCGAAGATAACCTGGAGCAGCCGAGTGATTGCTGGATGGAAACTTGCTTTAATGACTCTGATGAACACAATATGGAAGTTGTCCCTTGCAAAAAAATCCAGGTGCCTTTGTGCCATACTGCCAGTGAGATCCCAAGTACCGATATTTCTGCTTTCTGCCTTCTTTGTCACTTTCTTTTCTAAGCTGTTTGTCTATGTCAGGTAATTTACAGGATAACTCCAACAGAGGCCCCGAGACACCAATCTCGGGTAGAGGTGAGAGGCTTTTTAATATGTTGTCCCGGATTTTCTAACATGTTCTACATACTTTACAGGTAGAAAGAAACATCGTGTGCAGGGTCGGCAGAAGCTGACGAGCCCCGTCGCGTATCCATTCGCTCTACTGAAACCGTGTGGCGCGACTGGCGATATAACGTTGAGCGATTTAAACGAGAGAATTCAGACCCCGAGAGCGAAACCCATCGTGAGGCGGTTAAGTGGCGAGCTCGGTGATTCGGAGTCCTCTCAGAGCCTGGGAGCAGGACTATCTGGAAAATCCGTCGTAGCTCTGACTAAGATCCATACCGAAGGGAACGGTTCAATTACGATAATGCGAACTAAAGGATGACTTCGTGACTCATCGTTAAGACTTAAAAGACTTAAACTCATTGTTAACGTTTTATTTCAGATCAGCGAGAAAACGTCGAGATCTGGCGGTCATGCATGCATGCAGCGTAAGTTGTCTCAAGTCCCTGTTAGTGTGTATAAATATCGTGTTGGTTGTTGCAGGTTGTAATCACGACTTCCTCTTATCGGCTTTTCTTTCGACTGTAAGTTGTGTTGCAACTTTCTTCGCTTTGCTGACAAGTGATGCTTTTGTAGGAAGCGAGGAGAAAAAATGGCAGCAGCAAATATGGTGCTGTGGATGGTGCTGGGATTGCTGGTGAGTTCCTGTCACGCAGACGGTAAAGACTATCCTCCAAAACCTTACAAAGAAGAGTGTCCGCCACCGCCTTACTCTTATCCCGAAGAATGTCCGCCACCGCCTTATTATCCCGAAGAATGCCCGCCACCTCCTGAAGAATGCCCTCCTCCTCCTACGCCTCCTCCTACTGAAGAATGCCCGCCTTCGCCATATCCACCACCTGCTGACAATGTCGACTGTTCCAAGTGTACGTGTATCTGTGGAGCCTGTCCAAAGTGTGAAGCTTACCCGCCTCCGAAATGCCCCGAAGTCCATTGTCCCGATGTCAAGTGTCCTAAGTGCGACTGTCCCGACTGCCCGAAGTGTCCTCCCGAGAAGGTGTGTCCTCCCGAGAAGGTTTGTCCTCCCGAGAAAGTTTGTCCTCCCGAGAAAGTGTGTCCTCCTCCAAAGGAGTGCAAGCCTTGCAAGGAGTGTTCCCCTCCAAAGGACCATCCTCCTGAAAAGTGTCCCAAGTGTGATGCTTGCGACAAACCATACAAGCCATGGCCGGAAGCTGCGGAGACTTTTGCTCCTGAGGATGTCTCGCTGATAAATGGACTCCTGTCGGTGGAGTATGCTCTCAATGGATACTACAAGAACGCGGCCTCCAGCAGCTTCAAGGACGTGACCGTGAAAAAGCTGGTTGGCGATTACAAGGCTCAGACTGACAGCCACATCAAGTAACTCCTCTCAACTCTTTTCCTTCCATATGTTAACCCCTTGTGCTTGTGTAGAGCTTTGAGCGGGCTGCTCAAGGAACAGGCAACGAACGAGCCACAGATGAATCTTAACACCACCGTCTTCTCAAAGATGATGACTTCGGCCACCGGCAAGCAGAGGACGTTTGATGCTTACTCATCCGGAACGAACTCTTTGTTGGCGGCGTCTACTCTCGTTCCTCTGGCGTCTGGCGTCTCTACTTCCATGCTTGCCCAACTCCAAGGCCAAGCTGCCAAGAGCGTAAGTTTGATCTCTCTCCTTTTCCTCTTCGTCTTGATAATCTGTTTTGCTGCAGCTGGTGGCTGGGGTCTCGAGCTCTCTGGCCGGGCAGACGGGTGCTGTTAACGCGATGCTCCTCCAGCGAGCCAGCGACAGCGTTGCCAAAGGCCTGACCGTGGGAGAAGCGTCGCAAAACTTATCAGCGTTTGAGCAGTCACTCCAGGCGACGCCATCGTCGTCCTCGAGCAGCAGCAACACAACAGTTGAGGTCTCGGCCGCGCAGTTCTCGGGCGCTGCTCTAACTCTTGACGCAACGCAAGCTCTGGCCGTGCTCAAGCAAATGGGAATTCTCACGTAATCAACCAACAATGGGAGAGCCATCCATCTCTTGGGACGTGTTCTCCCGAGAGAATAAAACTAAGTTACGCTGACGTAACGACTAATAAGAAATCAAAGCTCACACACTACTTTTTCTTCTTTGCGCCATCTTTTGATACTACTACCAATGAATTGTTCTTTCTCGAATGACCACGTTTTTAGCTGATCAAATTCTAACATGGCCAAGTTTTTGTCTAGAATCGCTTGACTTGGGCTTCGACCACTTTAAAATATTTCCATCAGCGCGAAAGCTCATTGCTCATGATGTTCTGTTTATTTCTTCCTTTTTCTTTCTTCTGGTCCGGTTAGCAGGCCACCTCGAATAAATAAATGTCAAAACTTGGGATGAATGGTACACAAAACTTTTAGTCTTGCGATCAGGCGGGCAAGTGGAGCTTGACGTTGTTCTTCCAGCTACAAGCAAAACAAAAGAACGTACATATGGTGAATGAGCATAGAAACAAAAGCACTAGTTCACTCTGTCACAGACCTGTGAATATAGTAGTAGAAGAAATCAGCATAAAGAGCTGTTTGTACTGCCCCGGAGATCCAAGCTGAGAATTGTGCCACAAGAAAATCAGACCTTCACCACAAAACGCTAGAATTTTAAAAGAAACTCACGTATCCACTGCACGTAGTGCTTCTCTGTCATGTACCGGTAAGCCCAGTTGACGATATACAGCGCCCTGTAAGCTCTGCGAGAGAGAAAAATCGAGTTTTTAACACACCACAAAGCACAAATTTCATACCCCAATAGAAAAACGTAGTTTCCCGTCAGATTGTCGATGTTCCTCGTCCTCTGGAGTAGAACCAGCTGCGGGAAGATGGCCACGGCCTCCAAGTAAATCGAGAAAGTCCAGGCAACCTGGAACGAAAGAGAGAGAGAAAGAAAAGGTAGAGCTTTGGTGATGGACGAGAGCCAAAGCAAAGATTGTGTGGAAGGAAATGTACCTCGAGAAACGTAAACTTCTTGTGGATCACGAGCGCCAGGAGCAAGCACGGAAGCACAAGGAAGTAGTGCCGGAACGTGTCTTGCTCCTTGTCATACGTTCGGCGCACCAGTTTGTGGCGCCGCATGTACCACACGATGGTCATGGACGTGGAAAGGAAGATGATCTTCATGACGAAGTTGTAGAGCGAGACAAAGTCTGTGAACAAATCGAGGTAGCGCGCCACGAAAACCAGCGCGTAGAGCTCCTGCGTCTTGAGCGAGATCCCTGCGTTTTAAAGTTTTGAGAAGAATCGCCTCTTTGATCGATGCCATACCATACCTGCGCAATTCTTGATGGTGTGGATTTTGAGCAGCAGCACCACAATGCTGAGAAGATGCGTCATGTCGCCTGCTAAGCGGAAGAGATTCATCGTGTCGCGCTCCTCCTCCAAAAGCTATGGATCAAAGATCTGCGCGCCTAGAAATCCCACATTTCACCCTATTTGCGCCAAATTCCGCGCTCCCCCTGGCTGTAGAGCTCGCCAGCGCTGTGAATCTACCGAGATTTCCACTAGATCTGCAAGATCGCCTACCCAAGCCCAAAAGCCCTAGCCCAGATCTAGCCAACGTCTGGAATTAAAAGCTCCGTGAGCCGTCGATCTTCATTCCGGATCCAACGGCTGGCGTGGCGGATTAAACCCTCAACTACGTCGAATGTATAAAAGAAAAACTATTTGATTCTAAGAGAAGAGGGCACGCACACAGAGGACACTGGAAAATGGAGAGGGGGAGCTGTGACGAAGACGCTCTAGGTTTCCAAGCTATGCGCAGCGGCGAGATGGAAGAACCCTAGGCGCGGCGGTGGAGCAACGGCGACGCGAGGTAGGAGATAGGAATCCATCGCTCGGTCGCTGCAGCGTGTGTGCCGAAATCTTTGGATTCTTGCGTCCTAGCGCTGCATTTCGCTTTCTTGCGATCATTCATCACCTCGATGATCCAATGGAGGATGAAATATGGCCTGTGTGGTTGCAGACATTGGACGACCATGTCGGGCGCCTTCTCTTCGCTCAAATATAAGAATGTCAAGCACTGCAGTACGCATCCCAAGTTCCTCCACAGCAACAGTACGAGCCATCGCTGGGCTTTTGGCGCTATTGCCGAGTAAGCTTGCTGGTACGAGTGCTCACTCACTCTTCTTCTCTTTTTTTTTTCTAGGCTTATTGACAATGCCATCGATCCTGATGTGAATGCGTCGCAATTTTGCATTGACCTCAAGGAGTTTAACAACGAGCCTTGCCTCGTTCTCATGGACAATGGCTGCGGTTTGAATCCAGAGAGACTTCATAAAATGCTCAGTTTTGGGCATTCGAAAAAGGTAAGGAGGTGTTTTTCTTCAAGTCTCCTCTTTACGCTGTTTGCCCGAATGCAGCAAATGACTCCTGGTGATAGATCGATCGGGAAGCATGGAAATGGTTTCAAGGTTGGACCTTTTTTCATCTGCGCCTTACTCTTAGCTTGCTTATATTGTTTGCTTCAGTCGGGAACAATGCGCTTAGGAAAGGACGTACTAGTTCTTACAAAGTGTGCTGTCAGTATGACTACTGGCTTCCTTTCTCAGACTTTTCTGGTAAGTGTGACTTATGATGGCCAAGTCTCATTAGAAAAATCCTGTATGAAAATCAGGCTGCTGTGGGAGCAGAAGACATCCTCATACCGCTAGTTACCTGGGATTTGCGTGGAAGTATCCTTTCCAGCTGCTTGAACATAGCGTGCCATTCTTTTCCTTGACTGCAGGGAAGATAGAATGAGTCCAAAGCATGCGGACATCGAAGAAAGCTTGCAAGCTATATGTACATACTCCATTTTTCCTGACGAAGCAAGCATTCTTGCTCAGCTTGATGCGATTCCTGGAACAGGCACGGTAAGCTTGACAAAAGCTGTTTAGAAATATCATGTTTTCTTGCTAAACATTTGGTAAATCTTTTTCCTCTCTAGATCCTGATCATTTCAAATTTACGCCGCCATGAAGGAATCCTTGAAATGGACTACAAAACGGATCCTCACGACATAAGAATAACATCAGAAATTACCAGTTCCCATTATCAGCAACTGCGACCCAATCAGGTGATTGACTTGTGAGGTTCTGAAAAAGCTAAAGTTGTCTCATTCCTCCTGCAGCCTAATTCCACTGACGTTCCTAGTGACTACTCTCTTCGGGCCTACGTTTCAATACTTTATAAAGTTCCTCGTATGCAGATATTTATTCGGTAAGCCATCTGATGTCACAGCGTACAAAGTTAAGACGTAAAATGCTGCAGTGACAACAAGGTGAAGACGAAGAGGGTCTCTGGACTTTTAAGTCAGAAGGTGACCGAAACTTATAAGCCAATGGGAGTTACTGATCCCGTGAAAATTGAAATGGGGTGAGTCATCATACTGTATTCTTTTAAGTTGAGCTGACGTATCCTCGTGATTGTAGTTTCAACACCGAAAACAGAAACCTGTATGGCATGATGCTTTATCACAGAAATCGTTTAATTAAACCTTATATGAGGGTAAAATTGTGTATAAGAAGAGTCCATGTAACACACTATTCCCGTTTTTCAGGTTGGTATGCAGCTTGAAGAAAATGAAAGGGGAATGGGTGTCCTGGGCATAGTTGAAGCGGATTTCTTGCACCCAACTCATAATAAGCAGGTTAGAAGCTTTTGTTCCGTCAACTGTAACATAATTACCTGTTTTGTGAAGGACTTCGACGACACAACTGCATACCGTAGGCTGCTGAAGAAGCTTTCGGATGTTTTGGCTGAGTACTGGTATGTTGTGTTTATTTTTCCTTCGATTAATAATTTTTTGTTGCAGGTGGGAAAAGAAGGAAAGGATCAGTTTAAGCTTACCTCAACCTGAAACTCCTACGAAGCGACCTGCGGAACCAGAAAGTGTCGATGAGGATGTTCCAGATGTCGTATGGGTAATAAGCCTTTTGGTGCATTTTCGTTGTTTTTATTCTATTGTCATAGGTGCAATGCGATAATCCTAGCTGTCTCAAATGGCGTGTGCTACCTGAGGGGACCGATGCTGCTACTCTTCCTGATAGCTGGTAAGGTTATATATTATCCGTGAAATCCTATCTGATTATATATTTTTGTGACAGGTTTTGCGAATACCATCCTATTGCTAAGTTTCGCAGGCACGAAGAACCAGAAGAAGAATGGGACGCGTCTGTTCAACATGAGGTATCTTTTCTTTCTTTTTCGGCATTAATATAAGCTTGTTTTCTAGATTATTGAAAGAAGAAAAGAACGGAAACGGGAATACGACCGCGAGAGGAAAGAAAAAGAAGCTCATAAGCGTCGACAACGGCTGGTATTTATAGCTTATTAAGCGGCTCACGTATTAAATATGATCATTGCCAGGAAGTTATTGTGGGGAGGGAGGAGCAAATGGCAATACACCGCCAGCGGGAAGCTCTCAGGAAGGAGATGGAAGAACAAAAGGCAAAAGATTTTGAAGCCATTGAGCAGGTATTTGTCATGCGTTGTTTGAAACTAGGCTGAGAGTTCGGACTTCCTGCAGGAACGTAAGGCCCGGGAGGAGGAAGTCTTAAAGCTTCAAAAGGTATATTTTTATAGTAGCGAAACTGTTCTCATTGCATGTCTACATCACAGGAACTCCATGAAATGCAAGCTAGGCGCGATGAGATTCAAAAGCAGCACATCGAGCTTCTGCATCGTTTGGAAGTTGACGGAGCGAAAAAAAGCACAGCTCCTGTCAAGAAGGATGAGAACCATGTGCAGTTCTCGGAGCACGTGAGTATTTTTAATTGGATTTTTGTATCCTGCTTTACGGTTCATACTCGTGATTGCAGGAAATGTCCCAAGTAGGAGTTTCGGGCTCCGAGGATATATCAGAAGAAAGGCCTGTTGACTCCCGCAAAACCGATGAGGCTTGCTCGGGTCAGCAAAATGACGGACGGACTCAATGGAAGGGGAACGAATTGCCCAGCGATGGCACTCAACACTTGCCCGATCAGGTGAACAAAGACTATCCGCAAGGGAATCATCAACACTATGAGCACCGCCAGGAGACACGCCTTCTCACACCAAGTTTGGATGGTGAACCGTATCAGCACCGCCCAGAAACTAGTAAAGATGACAAGCTGGTGGGAAATGAAGACTACCAACGTCAGCAAGCTAGCTTATTTCCCTTGCAAAAGCAGTTTGTCGTCCATGACGACAGGCGAAACTACCAAAATCAAGAGGAGATCCACTTTTCAGGTGGGAGAACTGGAGAAGAAGAACGACACAACAGGCAATATCAAGGAGCTGACCAGCAGCTTACAGAGGATAGAAACAATAACGATGAAGGCTATGGACATCCTCTGGATGCTCGATTCTCAAGCAAGCGTACCAACGAGCTGGGACAAGCTTTCCAGTGGCGGCAGCATCCATATGGAAGCGACAGGCAATACGGAGAGGACCGGCATCCGCAAGACCACCATATGGGAGTTAATCGCATTCAGGTCTATATAATCCTGCATTAGATAACTGACGAGGTGTGGTTTTCTACAGGGGTCGGAGCTTATGGAACCTACCTCTAATCGGTTCCAAGATAATCGGCATAGCCAGCTAAAAGGAAATGAACTTTCAATATCATATGCACCCATACAACCGCTGCAGGAGTGTATGCCTGGGTTTTCACCACAGTATCCACATGCAAAGCAGCCACCTTCAGCTCCTCAAGACCAAGTTACAGCCAATGGACATACTCTGGGTCCTTTGTCTTCGTTTCAACACGTCAACATGGAAGGCGGACGCATGTACCAGGATGATAGCAGAGGGTTGCTACCGAGAGGCACTCAACGGTATCAATCTGTACATGGAGTTGTCGACGCCGAGAGGTAAAGCTTCTTCAGCACAAGCTTTGGTCTTATTAACTTCCATTCTTCCCAGCTTGTCCCTATGCTCCGATGCAATGATCGTTCCTCGAGCGGACACTTCAATGTCAAGCGGAGCTTTGCAAAGACGCGAAGCTGACTCGTCGTTGATCCTCTCACTGCAGGGGTATTTCCTGTTCTCAGTCTTGAACTAATCACTCGCCTTTTCTTCCTCGTTTGTCTTAGACGTTTGCGGACGGCTCTCAAAACGTTACTCAAGTTATCTGGGCCTTTGGAAACGCAAGTTGATGCAGATGAAATGCTTTCCTCTGACTTGGAAGTTGTAAGATTTTGATTTTTTCTCTGTTTTGTGAATTTCTAATGTCTTGTCTCGTACTGCAGGTAACTATATGTGAAAAGGTACTTCAGCATTCATCCTTTACACAAGTGTTTTCTGACTGGTGTGTTGCAGGCAACGAACTATGTTGGAATGAGGTGGCAAGCCTATGAGCAAGAGATTGCAAAGTTGAAGACCGAGCTGGCTTATACAGTACAGGTATATCTCGCTTATGATCGTCCTTCTTGTAGCACATCTAAACGTTTCTCTCAGGCTGGACAAAATTTTAGAATCCGTGCCATAGCAGGAGAACAATGGGATAACGGGAATGCTACTATCCTGAAGTGACCCTGTGCCTTCTCGTCGACGTTTTGGTAAAATAGACAGGTAGTGTACATGTAAAGTTCTGATACTTTTAGACGAGACTTCGAGCGGGCCTTAGGATTATTGCCATTAACTGTTGATGACTAACTGATTCAAAAGAATGCCCGGGGCTCGTCATATTTCTCTTTGACGTATTTTCTACAATAAATATGTCGTTGTTTGCCAGTTTTGTAGAGTAGACATCAGTCGAAACGACAAGTCTGGTTTTCATTGTCGACCAGGAGAATCTTTGTTCGAAGGATCCCAGTTTTGTAAGATCTTCATGAGCGATGTAGCCTTCCGCTTGGCTCGTGAAGACCCGCTGGCCAGAAGCGAGTGTAGTGCTGTTATGCTTCCAGGAACGGTCAGAAGGCAACGCACGACGGAGTGATCACCGCCTCGGCACAAGGCAAGCAGTACTGCTGTTGCGTTTTCCTTCTCTCTTGGTGATCCTGACTCGAGAATTCTCACCAGAAACGACATAGCTGAGGTTCGTGCAATGGACTTGGCGCCGGGCTCGGAAGCTGCAAGCAGACCCAGGAGGGCCAGCGAGTTTTCCAGCAACTCGGCGTTGCCTTCGTCGTCCATGTACTGCTCCAGGTTCTCCACCAGCGATGTCACCGCGCCGGCTTGCACCACCTTTTCCTTGTTCTCCTCGAGGAGCGAGAGGTTGAACAGCGCAGACACGGCGTCCTTCTTCCCGGTCTGCGTCCCCTTTTGCAAGAGCTCCACCAGCGCAGGTATAGCTTGTCCTTTGCTCCCGATTGCGACTTTGTTTTCATCCGAGGTTGACAGGCTGAAAATGGTGGCAGCGGCATTCTCCCTCGCCACGGCGCTGTGGCCGTTGCAAAGCACGACGACGATGGGATCCAGAGCTCCAGCAGTCATGATGAGGCTCTTGTTGCTGTCGAAGATGGAGAGGTTGAGCAGCGCAGTGATGGCGTTCTCCTGCGCCGATGCGTCGCGCGAGAGCAAGAGCGAGACAAGGAAAGGTATGGCTCCCGCTTCAGCAATGCATCTCCTGTTCTCCATTCCTATCTTTGCCAGGAGCCGGAGCTCGTACGCAGCCTGCTTTTGAATATCTGGAGGTCCCATGGCCAGCTTTCCAACCAGAAACGAGGCCGTCATCCTAGCCGCTGCTATCGTGGCCTGAGCATTTGCAATGTGGTCGACACCAACTGTAGCTCTCGAGTCCTTCCCCGACATCCAGAACGGTACCTTGTTCTTCTCGCACCACTGCGCGATGAGGCTCCGCAGCGCAAAGTTTGGGATGAGCGTCATGTGGATGAGCTTCTGGCCACTCTTGGGACACGTTATATTACCGGCCTCGACCCACCTCTGTATCGACGATCGATCGTACGTCTGGCCGGTGGCAATGATCACCGGGTCTCTCATCAGCTCCAAACTTATGGGACACTTGTACTCGTCGGGGATGCTGCTGCTGCTCAAGCTCAAGCTCGTCACCAATTGCTTCTGGGCCTCATCGTCATCCTCGACGTCGAGAGCGTGTTCTTGGACGGGATCCTCAGAGACCATGCCGTAGAGGACGCAGCTCGAGAAGCACAGGAAGCTGATGAGGCTGTTGATCCGGCAAGCCTTTGGTGACCTGGACGACGACTTTCTACTCAGGGAGGACCGGGTCGTCGTCGTCGAGGTGATGGAGGAGGAGGATGACGCAAGCTTTCGCAGCTGCTCGAGCTCTCTCTGGCACTCCTTGGCACTGGTGAGCAACAGTCGCTTGAACAGCTCCTCGATCCGGTCACTGCTGGGAGTCCTCTTCTTCTCAAACTCCTTGAGCAGCTCCAGCAGCTTGGCCTGCAAGTCGAGCTCCACAGGATCCACAAACAGCTTGAAGCGCCGGGCTTGCAGCTTTAGCAGCTCGACTTGCTCCTTGATCTCGATGGGAAGCTCCAGCAGGCTGAGCGGAAGCATCGACAGTGGAGCGGCCATGTCCCTGGACAGCTCAAACAATTTGGTGGAGTAGAGCTCACACTCGGCCAGGAGCCAGAGCTGGCTCGACTCTCGCAACTCGTCGGCGAGCTCCCCGGCCCGGAGCATGACCGAATGGAGCTCCTGGAACGCTATCACAGCCGAGGGTGGGAGGAGCAAATTCCCGTCTCTTACCTCTTCTACCACCGGGAGCATCAACCTCACTCTTCGCAGAATCACCGTCAAGTTCTTCCTCTGGCACGGACCCAGGTACGCTTGCTGGTGGTGACTTGCGACTAAGTTTGCGGCTTCCAGGAGCTCTTGCACGACAACCCGTGGAGCAGCGGCCATGGCTGACGATGATCCGCGAAAGCTGCCACTGTTTCCACCATGCGACTAGCAAGCATGCAAGCACGGCATAGCGCAAACTTGCTCCTTCGGCTCCTCTTAATAATTTTTAAGTTGTTTTTTCTTCTTTGCCTTGGAAGTTGGGATGGGCCAAGTCGTCGTGTTCTTCGGCATTTCCCCCGCGCTGTTTGAACGGCTGGGATATTTGGAGCTTTGTGTTGTGTCGTTTTATGAGCCCACGATGTTCCAAGGGTTATTTTGAATATAATTTGGTAGCATATTCTGCATTTCTATCTCTTGAAATTGGACTTTCAGAAAAAAAAAGGTAAAGGGTAAACAAAAATAGAGTGATTTTGGTATATGAGCTATTATATTAATCTAGACCATTCGCTCTTGTATAGAAGTTAAAGTTTTTGCGTTAATTGATATGTACATTTATGTATACACTCACAATATGTGTTTTAAAAATATATTTGCAATTACACTAAAACATAATGTTTTAAAACTTAGTAATCTAGATTATATTTAGGTATATACTGGTATATTTGGTGCACGAAACATATAGGCATCTGGTTTTATGGTTTTGATGCAGGGACATTCGTGACCATGGTAGCTCCTTGATACAAGGTCGGATTCGTGTACCAACTAGACGTTGTGAATGAAGGCGATGAATGAACTTGTTGCTTAGCCGCTGCCTTCAACTCGACCAAGAGCAGCGTTTGGTTGTCGTTCTTTGAAGACGATAAGATCTTGTACACAACCTGCTTCAGTTGTTCATAGTCTCTGGCCTGCAACGCCTTCCGAATCTGTCCACAATGGTAATCGTCTATGCTGTTTTTATCCACTCCATCAGAAGCAAGAATAAGGAAGTGGCAGCCTTTGGAAATGTCAAAGTTGAGAATGTCCGGAACAGCACTCACAGCTTGTTCTTCTCGACTCAGCTGCGGATTGCTCTTGAACGACCAATCCCCAATGCTGCGGGTCACCATGAGCGAATCGACATCGTCTTCTTTGCCAGCCAAAGTTATGCGTCCCTTTGAGCCCCTCTCCACATAGCCACCCGCCTTGACGACCCTGTCTAGCTCCCCAGGACACTTGCAGTCGTGCTCCTGGCTGATATCCATCACGTACCCATCCACAAACAAGCAGCAGAAAGAATCGCCAACATTGCCAAGAAAAACCTGGTTGTCATCAGTAACCAGAGCCACGGTCGCGGTACTCCCACAGTCGTCAGCATCTGGAGCCCGTGAATCTGCCTCCATGAAAACCTGATGCAAGCTCCTCGCATAGTCGCCGTCCCGGAAAGCCTGATTGCAGCCCAGGATCGTGCTCATGCTGCCAGCGCAGAAGCGTGCCACTTGATCCCCGCCGTGTCCGCTACAGAGTGAGCGTCCTCCATTGTGCTCCTGAAGCCCACGTCTTGGAAGCACAACACTCTGACGCGCCTGTCCTCCACAACCTCCATTCTGCCCTATCGCCCTAATTCAGAATCAACGAAAAGGCTAAAAGATATACCTTGTGTGACACGTGGCTGTCGACGTGGGTGGCATATTCCCGCTCTATTTAATTGCGGGAGCACTTAAATAGGGCTGATGAGAGGCGTGCACGTGTTCGGCGATGGCCAGATTCGCAAGAGCAGGATTGAGGAGCTGGTTTTGGGTCGCCACGACCCTTCCAGCTGTGCGTCCTGTCAAGCACTCTCCCCGGAGCAGAACTCGCAGAGATAAATAAAAGACATTTAACCACGATGGTTCTCCTTCTCAAGTAGCATGAAATTTTGAAATGGATCTAGAGCTGAAAGGCTAATGGACACTTTGTGAAAAATTGCTACATAAGAAATTTGGACAATTTTTTGTTTTTCTGAAGTTTTTTCTCTTTCATGAACGACCAATAAGGAACCTGGGGCATTATTGAGGAGGTGTCGGTGGGTTCGGGGGTTCCCGATGGCCGCGGGGGGGGCATGGGGCCGGGTGGGGTCATTTAGCAGGCTGATCACAAAGCATGTAATTCTTTCTTCCTTCTTTATGATTCTATTTCTCATGTTGCCATGGAATTTATCGGCAATAGCTACGGGAGTAGTGGCCAGGGATCGTCTGGCAAGGGAAAGCGTCGCCATGGCAATAAGTAATGTAGTCTTGGTATATGTTCTTAGTATGTTTCCTCAAACTTGGTTGTCCGCAAAGAAGTTCTCTCGCTTGTGACAACGAAGTATGACGAAGCTCGAGTTCGTCCTCGGCCACGCCCAGGCCAAGAAATTATGCACCCAGGTCCGGCTGTGAATGATCAGCCCAGCTAAAGAGCTCGCAAGGCGAATCTCTGGCAGGATCTAACCACTCCGGGCTCTACGATAGCCAAGGAGGCGAAACTCAAAACTTCGCGGCCTTCCTCACGTTGTTTCTGGCTATGAGAATGACTTCCTCCTGTGTAAACAACAACAAAAAATTTACGGAATGCTGCCAGCATGCTTGAGGCCTTTCTTGCTTTGCTTCGTTTTCATTTTAACGAGCATTTTCTTTCATCTTTCCTTCCAGGTGCATCCATCCCGTTTCTTGCAAAAGCGAAAGTGAACCTTACAAGCAACGGAGTGTAGAGACGAGTCTTTTGGAACTGGATGAACCTTTCCATCCAAGCGGTGACCCCTTGGGAGGAATCAACGCTGACATGATACTGTGGAAATCCAGCTCTCTCACCTGCGCTTTCGCCTTTTGACCAGCAGCTCAATCACGCCCTCCAACAGCAATTTCCCACCAATGCCTTCTTGAGCACGCAGTGATTCTCTGGTGGATGGACGTCCTCCATTGGCGTGGCTCCCGCACCTTCTCGGATTTTCCAGTGATGGCTGCTGTTGGATCCATCATCGTAGGATCCGAGGATCTGGATGCCTGCAGCTTCTTGTTGCGTTTTAAGTTAAGTCTTCACATAATACTATGGATCTTACGCTTGCAGCACACACACGATGTTCATTGTTGAGTGTATGTTTCAAGTCACAAATTGCATCGTCTCCGAACTTTGGACTCCAGACTCCAGGATGTTGACACGTGCCATCCATATTTCGAGCATCAAGGGTCTCGCCGAATCGCAAAATACGAAAGTCTTGCCAAGACCATCTAAACTACTTTAGAAAATGTGACAATGCCTTTGGATTCAAGAAACCTAGCCATTTTCAAACGATTTCCTCATGACCAACATGGGCTATAAGATTTACTTCATTCTCTTTACAGGTCTCATCCCAGCTTGTGCCAACTTTGGAGAGCATGCAACTCAATATGATGACGTTTATTTTTCCCCCCATATAATCTAGCTTCTTACAGCTTCTTAGTTTTACTGTTAATAGCTATCTGCCTAGAGTTCCAATCTTAAAGTGTTGCGAAAAATTCTTTAAATTAACCCATGCGCCTCGTGCCTCATCTCTCAAAATACATTTTTCAAAAACAGCATATAGATAAATAGATAGTTCCTCGTCTATCAGCAAATATACTCTGCATTGAAAGGTTGAACAAAATCCGGATCATCCTTGAAAACACGAAACCTGTGTTCTAGGCATAAGTTTGCTTCGCCATAGAACCTAGTCCTAAAAAAGCTGACCCTACGTTTAAATCGTCGTTACGTGCTCCAGGCTTTACTATCGTCCAAAGAAGTGGCCTCGGTCGTGGTGGTGTCCCCTTCATCCTCGCCAAAAACATGCATTTAATTCCTCTTCCGCGCATATTTTCCACACCTCCATTTCTTGAGCCACTGGTTTCGCAGCCGCTTTGGATTGGGCAACGATGGATCGCGTTTGGATTTCGGGAAGAACACGCACGGCAGTCATGGCCAGATCTTTAATTTCCACGGAATCTAAAATCTGGACATAAGATCATGGCGGAGCCTGCTACTTCACCGAGCCGACGAGCAAGCGTGGATTCAGTGCTGTCCGATTTCCAAGTGGAGCTCCTCAAGGTAGAGAATTCTCTGGAGAGTGTGTTATTGCTCACGAATTCTCTCGAGCAGCAGAACCACCGGCAGCAAATCCTCGACGACGATGAGTTCTTCCTCGACGATCATCCAAAGTCTGGACAAAATGGATCGAATTTGCTACTGGACGAACGCGATGCCTCGATGAATGAGTGCTCGACGTCGTCGCCATCGCAATTGGGCGATTCTTCCTCGGTAGCGTTATGGCAGGGAGGTATCCGGCTGGTAATTGAGGCACCAATCGCCAAAGTGTGGGAGATCTCTTCCGAGAGGTGCGGAATCTCTCGCTGGATGCCCATGATCGAGGAGTGCGTGGAGATCGATCCGGGCGATGGTATAACCGGCAGCCGGAGGCGAATTTCCGGCGATATCCTCCCCCGGATCGACAACATCCAGTCGTGGGCGATCGAGAAGCTGGTGGAATTCGACGCGGAGAATCACTACTACACGTATGAGGTGGAGGAGAGCAACATTGGGCTGGAGGGGTACCGCGCCACGCTCCAGCTCAACGATTTCGGCGATGACACCACGCTGGTGAATTGGGTGTACGAGGTGAGGGCGATGGAGGACAGCTCCGAAGAGGGCATGGCAGATTACATGGGAATGTTCTTCAAGGCATGCCTCAGGCGCCTGGAACTTCTCGCAAGCGGGAAGGAGAGAGACGACGAGAACACGCGTACAAATCCCATTGGTCCAGATTGAACACGTGTTTGAACACTATTAGTCCAGCTGGCATATATATAATACGTGCCAAATTTCTATTGATCCAGCTGGCACATAAGGAGCACGTTTTATGCTTTTACACCAGCTGGCACAAGCCATGTCTTCTAAATCAATCAATCCTAGATAAAAAAATCAATGTCTTCTCGATCGAAGACTCATTGTCTTCACGATCAAAGGATCAGTGTCTTCTCGATCAAACCACCAGTGCAAAGCCACTAGCATTGGCTGGCTCAGTGTAGAGATTGGAAAGAAGAATGTAGCAAGTTTGAGCGTCTGGATTGATCTCCACTGCCCGGCGAGCGGCTTGGCCGCCTCGTTCTTCATCGCCATGGGTCTTGGCAGCAGCCAAGAGCATCGTCCACGCAACGCTACTGCTGTGGATCGCGCTGTTCGCAGCAAACGCGATAGCTTCGTCCAGCCATCCCAATCGCCCAAACACGTCGATCACGCAGCCGTAGTGCTCGTCGACCGGATCAATCCCAAAGTCCTCGACCACCATCCTGAAGTATTCCCAGCTCTTGCTCGCGAGGCCGGCGTGGCTGCAAGCGCCCAAGACGCTGATGAAGGTAACGTCGCTGGGATCGAAGCCTTCGAGGATCATGGACGTGAAAAGCTCCAACGCCTTGGTGGATTCTCCTCGCTGCGCGTATACTTCGATCATGGTCGACCAGGAGCTCACGCTTCTACGCTGGATTCGATCAAACACCTCCCTTGCTCGAGCCAGGCTCCCAGATCTGCCGTGGGTGTTGATCAATGCATTCGCCAAGACAGTGTCCGAGAGGAATCCAGCAGCTTCCACGCGATCGTGGAGGAACTTGCCGTGATCTGGAGAAGAAGATCCGGCGCAAGCTTCCAGCAAGCTCAGGAACGTCACCTTGGACGGCTTGAGCCCTTCAAAGTCAAGCCTCTGGAAGATCTTGAGTGCTTCTAGAGAACGCCCATTCTGGGCATTTGCAGCGATCATCGCGTTCCACGACACCAAGTTCCTCTCGCTCATCCGATCGAAAACTTCCTTGGCTCTTGCGACGTCTCCAAACCTTCCATACATACTCAAGACCGCATTGGCGAGATTGAGCTCCATCTCGTGGCCAGCTTCCAGAATTCTTCTGTGGATCATCACTCCTTTCTCGTACTGCCCGAGCCCAGCACAGGCATCTAGAAGGGTGATGTGAGTCACAAAGCTCGGCTTCTCGCCCAGCAAATCCATTCCCTGGAGCATCTTCATGGCGCGATCGTAATGCCTGTTCTCGCAGTAGGCTGCGATCATGGAGCTCCAGGTAACCACATCTCTCTCGCCACACCCATCGAAGATCTCCTTTGCCCGGCCTAGGAATCCACAGCTAGAGTACATGTGGATGAGAGCGTTCTTGAGAGAAACGTGGTAGTCTTCCGAGCTTTCCTCGATCAAGCAGTGGAATTGCTTGCCTCTCGTCCCATCCTTGCAGCTCGCGCAGCAATCCAGGACGAGGAGGAAGGTGATTCTATCCGGCCTGTCGCCGAGCTGCTGCATTCTCGACAAGAACTCGATCGCGCGCTGCTCAGCGCCATTCCGAGAGAATGCCGTGAGGATGTTGTTCCAGGAGAAGACATTTGGGGCGTGGATGCCGTGGAACACCGCTAGAGCATCGCCGACGCGGCCGCATTTGCCATACATCTCCACCAGGAGATTTCCAAGGTACCTGTCTCGATCCAAGCCCCTGGCGGCGATGGCGCCGTGCACGCGCCGGCCCTCCTCTAGATCGCGCGTCGCGAGACATCGCCGTACTGCTGCCTCGAGCGCCGAGTAGCTACGAGCTTCCTCCGACCGATCAAGAACCCTAGCTCCTCTCTTGAGCATCCAAAAGCATCATTCCAGCCAAGATCAAGAATATTCTCAAGAAGGTATTATTCAGAAAATATTTCTTAGGGCTTTGCACAAGGTATATGCTTGAGGATATTCTTGTCATATAACGTGTCACGAGAATGAAGGGCGGGAATGGAGAGAGGAATTTTGTGCTGTGGCGTTCTTCCTTGGAAGAGCGCCGCGCGCTCCATTCCATCGATCGATCCACACAAGCGGCGGCTATGGAGGAGCCAGATCTCGGTCCGCGCGAGGAGGGCGCCATCGATCAGGGCGGCATTTGACGCGGATCTCACAGAGCAAATCTCCGGTCAGGGCAAGCTCCAGTCTCCATTCCAGGTAGCGCTAGGGCTGGGATTTCTCGTGAGCTGGGACAGGGCCGTGGCCGGCGCTCTCAGATGGAGTGGAATGCCGGCAGCGGCCAAGAATCTCCCGAGCGCCTCGCTAGGGATGATCTCGCTTGTGGCAGCACTGCTGGTGCTGGATCGACTCGCGCCAGATGCTTGCAGCGGGGTGAATTCTTTCTTCTTCCCCTCGGTGGAGTTTGTCCAGAGATGGATGCCGCTCTTTTATGCGCCAGCTCTGGCGATGCTACCGGCGGGAGCCAAGAGCCTCCAAGTCATGGATGGGATCAAAGTGGTTCTTTTGACTGGTAACGTTGTTCTTCGTATTTCTTCTTTCTTTCTCAGATGGTTTGTTCTTCTTTGTTCTTTGCTCGTAGTTCTTTCGTGGGCTGGGACACTCACAGTCACGACTCTCTTTACCACTCTTGTCCGGAGACATGCCAAGGCGAGGCTTGAGGAAGCTCCAAGCGGGCTCTCTTTGGCTCCTTTTAGCATATGGGAAGCGATACCATGGCTAGCAATTGGAGCTGCTGGCTTCATTCTGGTTTACGTCTCGCCAACTTTGCTTGGCTCTCCTGCAAGGACTTTGATCCCGTTTCTACTGTCGTCGACTGTGGTGGGATTTCTTCTTGGTTCCTTGTGAGTATAATTTTTTCCGATTTTGTTATTACAATTTTTGATAGTAAGTTCCTTTCTCTGTTTGAAGTCTTCCAGGCCCAGTAAAGAGATTCCTTCATCCAGTCATTACGTGTGCCATCTTTGTAAATGCTGCCGCACTTTTCTTCTCCATAGCAACGGAGAAGCAGTTTCTATCCGTGCTCGGTAAGTTGTCTCATCTTTTAGTTTCTCCTTGTTTCGAATGTGCAAATTCCAGGTTCGTACATCACGAATAATCTCAAGGATCCAGGTGCTGGGGATGTTCTTCTAGCCTTGGTTGGACCCCTAGCTATATCATACGGATTCTTGCTCTACCGGCAACGCAGAGTAATACTTTTGTGCTCTTGCTAGCATTTGTCCCTGACTGTTTTCCTGTTTCGCTTAGATTATTGTTCGGCATGGAATTGAGCTGGCCTCAGTGGTATCGGTGGCTGGTATGGTTTCTTTGCTTATCACGACGTACGCTGGTCGTGCACTGGATCTCAGCTCTCAGCTCATAAACTCGGTTGCTCCGAGCAACGTAACGTTTGCATTTGCATTGCCGGTAGGCAATCTCTTACAAGGTGAGACGAGCGTGTCTGACGTAATTTCGATGACTGATCTTTTCATTTTCTGTTTCGACGCAGCAAATCCTTCGCTGGTTGTATCGTGTTGTGTATTGACCGGCATTTTGGGAGCTAATCTTTCGAGGCCGCTTCTTCTCAAAGCTACAAAGTCCGACGATCCGGTGGTGCGAGGACTGTCAGCTGCTTGCAGGTAAGAATAAGAAAACTCTTGCATCGTTTCTAAAGTTTGTGATGATTTCTCGGTTCAGTTCTCATGGCTATGGATCGGCGTCAGTCGCTGCGGGAGAGCCGGATTTGCTCCCGCTTTGTGCCGTCGCTTACATTCTCATGGGAACGTTTTGCTCGCTACTTTGCAGCGTTCCAGCACTGGGACGCATAATATCCAAATAATGCGTGTGTGATAGAGTTTCCCAAAGAACACAACTAATCTAGATTGAATACCCTGAAATATTAAAAAAAGATTGGAGATGCTAGGAATTGAACCCAGTCACTTTTGAAATGTCAAATTGTGATGAACCACTACATCCCCTTTCATGATTTACAATTTGATTTATGAAAGTCTATAAATTCTAAACACGTTTAGGAAAATGATTGGATTTCACCGTTTTTATGATTTATGATTTAATAAATGATTCTTGGACAAGCGTATTGATCCGGCGTAGCTCCGTGATGTGCGCTTCGTCTGGCTCCACTGGTATGATCTTTGCAGCTTTTCCTTGATTCAACAGCTTGACAACGTTGTTTGCAGCCTCAAGCCCCGTCACATATGCTTTCTCCTACAATGACAAAGTTTTCGTTACATCTTGAAAGCACCACAGAATCCAGAGTACCTGAGACCAGGAGCCGTGCCGTGTGATGATCCAGTCACCGGCCATAAACAGGTTTGGAAAGCTTGTGGTTCCTCGCATCATATGTTGGTACGAGCCTTTCAACATCCACAAATCATATCTTTTGAGCTCGCAAAATTAAAAACAGCTTCTCTCGTACCTGGAGAGAAATGTGTCACGGCTTTCCGGAAGCGAACCACTGCCTGATCGACAACTTCTGCTGCTGCGAATTCTGGAATGCACTTTGCAAGGTAAGTCACCACCTTTTTCACGATCTGGTTGTCGCTCAGGGGCAGAAACTGATTGGCATGATACTGAAAATTGGACAAAATACACATCAACCAGCAGGAATGACTTATCAAAACTTACAAAGTCAGCTTCCACAACAGTTCCTTTTTCGTCCTTGTACTCGTCGTGCAAGGCATTAAGATCAAAGAAAGTCCACCCTGTAGTTTCATCAAATCCGAAACAAGCATTGCTGGGATGATTTATATCAACCTGACAAAAAAAATTGTTTTGCAGTAAAAGAAGAAACTATGTCAATACCTTACGATCAAGCCAGAGCCGAACGCCAAGGATATCTATAGCTCCAAGGTTTTGTATGGCCAGAAACTCCTCGCTCTGTTGCAACGCAGGACTGTAGACACGAGCAAACAACTATATCAATATATGAACCACAAAATACTGGTTCTCTACCTGGACTCGACAATGCGTTGCATTGCCGTGACACCGACGGAGAAAATAACTGCATCGGCATTGAACAGCTCGTTCCCGCACCTCACTCCACTAACTTCCCCAGTAGGTTCGTTGATTGTCAAATCTGTCACTTTTTTGCCACTTAAAAAGCGGCATCCTCGTGCATTTAGCACCTCCAGCCATGGCTTGAAGATTTTTTCTCCAACTGTTCCACGGCACCAGACAACATCAAAGTCCGACTGCAAATAATAAGATAAACATGACCTGTGAGAACTTTTCACAAGTTTTAACAAAACCAACAAACCTGATGCGCAAGAATGAAATAGTAGAGCATTCCGAGTGTAGCTGCAGCACTGCATTGTTCTCCAGGCGCGAAAAGTCCAACCAGAAGCATTGGGTTGAAGGCATCCTTGTACACTCGCTCCGAGCAACCATAGTTACGAAAGAGCTCACGAGCGGTTGCTAACAACACGACCTTCAAGGATTTGCATCGTTTGCAAAGTAGAAATTTCACTCACTTTTATCGTATTTTCTCCAGGCACGGTCGCTGTTGTCGAAATCTACCACCGTATACATGAGTGGAAGCGCAGTCAATCGGTCCCAAAGCGGAAGCCTGAGGAACTGCGAACATTTCCAATGCATATCACGTCACGGAATGATCAGGAATTCAAACTACCTCAAACGGTTATGAAGAAACCTGAGTGTATACAAATGTGCCCAAGGGACTTGGCAAACGAGGAAGGTCTTGAAATATTGGAGACTCAACCTGTCAAAAAAGAACAAGCAAAGAACTAAAAATCTAACAAAGAAATCTAAGAAAACAGAAAAGGATGCTAGTTTACCTCCAAACCATTGGGAGAATACTGTGAAGAGCGTGTCCACTTTGTAAAAGGCTTGAGTCCGAGCTCATCAACCAGTGAGAAAATATTCTTGTATGGGTACCAAAATCCTGGTCGAAAGAAGATCTAAGCTTTCGAAAAGAAAACCAGGAAATCTTTACCGTGAATTCCAACTTCCACCGATCGCCCCGACGCAGTTTTCCATCCAGCAACCAATCCTCCAGGTTGAGCTCCGGCCTCAATCAATGTAACATCAAAGCCCTGCATTTTCATCTATAATCCCTTTGCAACAAAAAAGATTCCACTCACTTGTTTGATGAGATGGTGCGCGGCGCCCAAGCCCGCCCATCCAGCTCCCACTACAATCACCTTCTTCTTCTTATCGATTTCCTGCCTCTCAGCTCTGATCTCACGCCAGCGTCGTCCTCCCCGTCGCCGATTGGAGATCGCGGAGCTCCACAGCGGGAATGCGCTCGTCGTGGCCATACAAAAACCCTATCTCGCTAGGCCGGGATGTTTAAATCCCTGGAAATGGATATTCTCTCTAACATTCATCCATCCGTTGTAGTCTAGTTGGTCAGGATATTCGGCTCTCACCCGAAAGACCCGGGTTCAATTCCCGGCAACGGAAAAATTTTAGTCTTGGAAGTTTTTGATAAGCTCTACAAAAAATCCCCCAAAATAATTCGTGATCATTCTTGCTGCTTGTGATCTTCGAGTACGGAGCAATTTAAAAAATGGCACAGGACGAGACGAACTTTACGAGATAAGAGTGCTCGTTCACCTCTAGAAGTTGACAAAGTAAAAGTAAACACACCTCACTTAGAAACTCGACATTCTCCAAAGAGACGTTGCACAGCGATGTGATCTCTTCTAGAACTTGCGCATCCTGTAAAATATCTTAGAGAGATTGCTGCTAACCTTTTTTCTCCTTAGGTGTGAACAATCTTCTCCACGACAAGTCAGTATGTGATAAGGCACGACGGTTAGGGCAACATTCTCATCTCACCGTCTTCCTACAGGCACGCCCACTATGGACGTGATTGATCTCGAGATTGGAAACAAGATCTACATTTCCAATCTCGACGAGTACGCCACCAACGAGGACCTACAGGTTTCTCCAAATTTTTAACTTTCTCTCTTCTCTAACAAGGACACACTCTTGTTCAGGAACTCTTTTCTGAAATAGGAGAACTCAAGAGTTGGAGGGTGCACCGCGACAAACTGGGAAATTCAAGAGTAAGTCCAAATCAAAACTGCACATATATTACTATCCAAACCGATCCATCTCTCAGGGAACAGCGGAGGTCGTCTTCGCACGCCGAAGTGATGCTGAGAGAGCCAAGAAGCTCTACAACAATGTCATGCTTGGTATCAAGAGACTCAGGATTGAGATTGCGTAGAAGCGTAGGAACCTGCTCTGTGCATCTTCTCCAAAACTCGGAAAATTTGTGAATCGACCTCAAGCTTGCTGCTTCAATTTTTTTTTCCTTAAGAAAAAAGGGGTATATAAATATTCTACAATATTTTTTATATTCTAGAATGAAACATAATATATTATTAACCTTTAATCCCCTTGATCTCATCCGCGCGACGTCGATTTCGACTACATCAATGTGCTCCAGGACGACACCTTGTCAGGCGAGAATGCGTACGAAGCTCTCGGCCGCTGCTCGTCAACGGGGTAAGAGTTTCTTCCTTGCTCCTAGGATCTAGAACGATTGCGCAGCTAGAAATTTTATTAGGAAGAATGAATTGGAGAAGTTCTGAGTAGTACAAGGATGGAATTTTTCATAGAGTTTTTTGGTGCTTGTGTTCCAGTTTTGCAAGAAGCTTGCTGAGAAATTCTACCGAGGAAGTATTGACGAGAACAAATTATCGGTGCGAAGTCTGGCTGCTCTGGTGCGCATTTCAGAGGTCTCCGTAGCTCCGAGGCTGCAAGCACAGCAGGAAGATCTTCTCCCGCAAATCTCCGAGTGCGACCAGGTAAAGCTCGAAAAAGAAGAACGGCAGAAAAGGGTTTGTGTCTTGTTTCTTGTTTGTTCTTCTTTCTTTTCTAGCACCTTTCATTTCTCTTGTGATACACAGGCAGACTACGAAGCGGATGTTGCTGCCTGGGATGGCTAGTCTTTACGTGACTCACAACACGGACGGAGATGCCACCCTACCGAAAGATAGATAGAGAACTTTAGCATCTCTATGGGCGGAAGGGCCTATCAACAGTGCATCTGTCACGCTTGCTTATGGTCGAAGATATGGTGAGCATTTTCGTTTTGTGTTCCATAACTCGAATTGATCGAGTGGTGTGGCTTAAGGTCTTGTTGGGAGAAACGGCCAGCAAGAGGTGGTTAATGCAAAGAACCAGTGCGGCTTACATATTAGCTATAAGTAGCAATGTTTTCTCCAAATTGTCGGTCCTGAAAAGCTGTTGCAGGGTCTGAGCTCTACGTCCGACATGCAAGTTTGAGAAACTAAGACTTTCTTTGGAAGCTGGCGTATGCGGATACCATTGTTTATACAGCCCGACCTGCTGCTGCTCGACGAACCAACGCTGCGTTAACATACTTGTCTTGCTTTGTGTTAAAATCAAATACCTGCAGAATCATTTGGACCTCAGTATTGTGGCTAGAGACGTATCTTTTGAAGTGGCCGAGGACACTCATCGTTGTGTCGGGCACGAGCTGTTACAACTGGTCAACTGAATGTCAAGACAGGCGAACCTGGATGTGCGCTCGAGTACGCTCATTCGATTCGTGTGGCTTCTATTGATTTGCTAGACGTTCTGCGCGCGTCCGCTCGAATGTGTCGTAATCTACTTTGTAAGTGACTAACTTTTGCCCTTGCAAATGTAGTATATCTCCACCTGTGCTACCAGCTCGATAGATTTCGAAACACATTCAAACATCCTGCATTGAGAAAATTTCTAGCATGTATTTGCAGGCATTCGTGGAAAAGTTTAGATACAATGCAAAACGTGTGTCGCTGGTTCAGTCGAGAATCAAAGTAAGCGCATGCCTTCGTCACGATTTTTATCTTATAATTGTGTGGATTTCTAGGCTTTGGATCGGACCGGATACGTGGATGCCGTTGTGAATGATAGGGAGTATGTTTTGTGCTCGGTCTTTTCTCCAAGTTTGAGTTCCCAACTCCCGGCGATAGACCATCTGGCTCCACCATTAGCTTCAGGTGACTAATCTATGACTTGCGTCGTAATTGACTTTAAAAATGCTCTACAGTGGCGCGTCATTTGGATATCCAGGAGGCCCAGTCCTCTCTAGAAACGTGAACATTGGCCTCGACTTGGACAGTCGCCTAGCTGGTAATGTTATAACGGCTCTAAAGTTTGATATTCAGTTGTTGGTGCTAATGGTATTGGCAAGTCAACACTGCTGAAGCTGATCTCTGGTGAATTGGAGCTTATGTCTGGAACTGTTTTTCGGTCTCCACAGGTACGCCTGGTTTGATTCTTAGGTTCCAGGTGCGCATGGCTGTTTTTATTCAGCACTATGTAGACGGCCTTGACGTTTCATCAACGCTACATGTCACGTTGTTTCCCTGTAAGTACTCGTCTTGCGTGTTATCAGTCTATGACCGTTCATTGGTAATTGGTACAGGGTGCTCCAGAGCAACTCACTTGGTCTCTTGGGAAACATGGCGCTTCAAGCCATGTATACTCTATCAGGTAACACATGAACTACTTGTTTCCTTGACTAAAAGTTTTTAGTTGTGTGGCATTTGCAAAGATCACATTCAACAAACCACACATTCTTTTACTGGATGTTCAAATCACCTTGTAAGAATCTTCTATTGTCTTTCTTGATATTGCCATGCTTATAGGACCTTGATGCCATGGAAGCACTTATGCAAGGCCTAGCACTCTTTCAGGGAGGAAGCATTTAGCACTCTTTCAGGGAGGTGTTTTAATGGTATGAGTTACGAAGTATTGTTTTCCTGATGAATTCTTCCAGTTCGTCAACAAAGGTGGCCTCAAGCAGAGGTCCCTCACGAAGAAAAGTAGCTCTGCAAAAAATTGGAGAAGAGATGGATAGATGATCATTCCTGTTGCATTCTTTGCTGCTTGTATTGCTCTCGAGTGAGGAGTGATTTCTCGGCCTTTTTCCATGCTTCTGGCTTTGGCATTAGAATCGCAATGTAGCCTTGCGAGGCTGGCTGCCAAAAGAAAAAGGAGATAATGAGCTCTAAGAATGGCACAAAAGAAGACGAACTTTACGAGATAGTAGCGAAGGATCGCTTGTCAAGCGCTCGTTCACCTCTAGAAGTTGCCCTCTTATGCAACACCTGCAAAGAAGAAAAACATAAAATCGAGATCTACAGCACAAGAAAACGTCCACAAACCTCACTAGAAACTCGGCATCCTCCGAGGAAACCTTGCACAGGGATGAATTCTCTTCTAGAACTTGCGCATCCTGTAAGATTTGTCGTGAAGAATCACTTGCTATCGATCTAGAGCATTGAGAGCTTGCTGCTGCTAACCTTTTTTCTCCTTCCACTGGCTTTCATGTCAGCACGGCTCTTCTTTCCAACATCGTAGTCTACGATTTTGATCTTCGATGGAGAGCGCAAAGCCAAATGAGAGGGAGCCAGTCCTACAACACACAGTCTACACGCAGCTAAGAGAGAAAACTTGAAAGATCGATGAGTTACACACCCGTTTCCATGGCGGTAGAGGTACTGATCGTGAAATTCCTTGCCTCCCACATCTGAGTGAGCAAGGGAATGAAATTATAAACAGGAAAACGCGAGAGATTTTCTTACCAAGCGCGAAGTAGTGCGTGAAATTCGTCTCATGTGCTGGAGGAGCCCTGGGAGGGAGCTCGTGAGCCCGTGGATACAGCGCCAGCACGGCATTCTCCTCCTCTTTGTCGTCCATTTCTTTCTTTCCCCTCCTCAAGAACCCTAAATTTCAGGATTTTAGGGTTCTTATTATTGGAGCGGAGCAATGCCGCGGCAGTATTTGGCACCGCCATTCTTTACCAAAGGATCCTTCTACAGCGTCGTCATCCCGGCGGTGCTCAAGAACAAGCGATTCACTGGCCGGCGGCGCCGCGGGCAGGCCAAGGACAAGATGCCCAGTCGATACGCGGTCTTTAGCGGCGTGTCTCCGGCGGCCGAGGTAAGCGATACTCTCGGTGTCTTTTCCAGAAGAATGCCGCTGGTACTGATTTCCTTCTCGTTTCTTAAGACTCATGGAAGCAAATCTCTGGAGAATTTGAGGAACAAGCGCATGACTTTCAACAAAGTCGTCACCGATCACATTGATCATTTTTCCAAAGGTATCGTTTTGTCTTTCTTTTCTCTTCTTTGTGATTTTACTCGTTTCTTTCTTTCATCTTGACACTTTCCAGAGGAGAAATCGCCTGGGCTGTCACGGATTATGGGATCACTTCTCAAAGACGTTCGAGCTAAAGTATGAAACTGGTCTCTGAATTTCTAGTTTTCTGTTGTAAGACGGTACGTTTTCAGGTGAATGGACCTATGGAACTGAGGCGAACGGAGGTATGTAATCTCTCCTGTTATTTTTCTTTCTTGCTTGTCATTTTCGGCTGACTGGAGGATTCACGCAGGGCGTGCACTCAGACCTCCTCAAGTTTTTGCTCAACAGGAAACGAGAAGATGCGAGGAGGAAGATTCTCAACTCTTAGGAAAGTTCTCGTGGTTAAAGGTAGTCTGGCTTTACGCTTTGTGGCTTTATTAGTGTTTTTTTCTAAGTTTCCAGTCAAACTCAGCACCATGACAGAGATATTCTAGACGTGATCAGGAAAAAGAGCTCAATGATAAAGAGAAGTTCGTGCAGCGTCCTCGCACAGCAATCCAAGGTTTCAGGAATCCAGCAACTTGGCAGAGCAGATAACCGTCCAGCCAGTCGGGATCGCTGCTGGAGATTGGGAGGCACAGGCCTGGAACTATCAGCGAAGAGCGGACATGGCTGATTGAACCCATAGAAGGATTGAACCCAAAGAAGACTGAAGATTTTGTTAATCAGTTAGTTTCTGTGAGGTCATTACCAAACTGGTGAATGCAACAAACTGCACCAATACTGGCCACATTTGGTTCACTGCATATTCTAGTTTTCTTGGGGTGAATTTGCAGCATCATGCCTTGTTGAAGAGATCCCTGACCTCCATCAGCGCTTGGTGAAAACACCGGCCCAAACTAACGATGAAAACCCTCTTGGAAGATGAGTAATTGACATGAAAGAAAGTATACAAGAATGTGTTAAACCTCATAGTATGGTAGAAATGGTGAGAGGTAATTGTTTAAAGTATTTGGCCTTCAATGAGATGGCAGTTTGTGCTCCAAGGAAAAAACAAAGGAAATGTTCTTTTAGAAGCAATCTCATACAAAGGAAGAAAGGTTTACTTGATTCCTTTTTTTGTAAGATTTCATTAAGCTTGCAGTTGCTTTGTTGTTTGAGAGAGGGAGCAAGAAACACTGACAAGTTCAAAAGGAATTTAAATCAGAGTCTAGAGTTTATGGTATTTGGCCTTTGGGCAATGGTTTAATTGGGAGAGAGGAGGGTAGTCACTATATATGGCAATGAAGAGCACACAACTCAGCAAAATGAAGAACTTGAATGCTTAATTTCAAGGGTGGACGAAGGCACTCCACAAGGCTTAGAGAATGGAACCAAGTGCTACAGAAGATGGTAAAACTGCCTTATGAAATATTATGGAATAAGGCACTTACATCATCAAGAAGTCTGGGAGGTCTTGTGTTGTTCTGCTTAACCTTTTTGAGGGGAGTAGCATACAAATCACAAGCCACCTCTGCACTGCCACATTTTCAACAATCTGCAAATAATGTACTTAAGAGGCATAGCAACAGATGGCAAGAAACTAAAAAGTATGATTTAGATGTAAAGGAATCATGAAGCATTTTAGCGGAATTCCCGAGTGATTGCAGGCTTGAGAGGTTGCTTGTGTTTTAAGATGGAATTGTGGGCACTTCAGTGGCTCGATGGTTATTTCAACGACAGGAGAACAAGAGCTACTTTCAGAGCTTAGCAGATAATTGAGCTTGGATGCGAGGTTCCGCTCAAATTCTTGCTCGCTGCTGGCCGAGAAAGAAGATGGTGATGAGTCACATCCAGCGATGGTAATACGAGGAAGATAGGCTGAGGGCCAAGCTTAGCTTAAGTGTACTTTTTATATAGTGATTCAAATTCTTTGCTCAGGGATGAAAATTAACATGACACTGCATGTGTGTGTGTTTGTCTGATTGAACAATAAGAGAACAAAACTTAAACAGTACCTTAGACAAATAGAAAGAGTAATGCAATGTTTTGATTTCCTGTGTGTGCAAGAGCATAGACTCTCAAATGGTTTATAAGTTCACAAAGGGAAAATAATAATATAATACTGTGAATGTCTGACAGTGCTGCATTTCAAGAACATGTCCACCAAACTTGTTGCCATTAGCTCATAGCTTTTCTCATGTAGGTTAAACGAAGATTGTCGTACGCTTGGTGCTTTCAAAGCTCATTAAAGTCGCTCAGTGGCAGATCGCCAGTCTTGTCATTTGTTCTTCAATCGTCCACTGTATATGTATAAGATGTTCACTCTATTATTATTTCAATCTTTTTGTCAATGGCCTTTGTCCTAGCTAGAATAGGCGGCGAGATCTTCACTACATACGTCTCAAACCACTAGCACGATTACACATTGTTTTGTCCAGTTACTCTTAGCAGAGAATCACACTTTTCACAAATTTATCAATACAAGAAAAAGGAAAAAAGAAGAACACTCACTCAATCCATGGATAGTAGCTTGGAACGAAGCGGGAGCGCCCGAATCGTTCCAGTTGCAGAAGAAGAAGCGATAGAGATCGATGCCGACGAGAAGCGTCTCAACGAGCTGGGCTACAAGCAGGAATACCACCGAGTTATCAGTCCACTCCAGCAGTTTGCTTACACTTTCACTTACACTGCGCCGCTGGGATTCGTCACGGGTTACTACGGCTACATGTACTGCTACGGTGGTCCGGTTGCCATCTTCTGGGGGATGATCGTCGCCACTCTCGCCAGCCTTTGCATCGTTCTCGCCATCGCCGAGGTCTACTCCATCTTTCCGGCGCTGGGGAGTGTTTACTACTGGGTGGCGCAGCTCATGCCTGATAAGAAAGCGCACTGGCTGTCGTGGGGAGTCGGCTGGATCTACACTCTCGGAGCTGTGTGTGGAACCGCGCTAAACGAGTACCTTCTCGGGAAGTATGTCCAGTCGATGGTGCTTCTCAGTACTGGAGGAGCGCGGAAAGGAGGATTCACCCTGTCGAATTACCAGGCAAGTTGTCAAAAACCAAGAGTTATGGAAGATGAGAAAGTACCTCTGAATTTTTCTTAAGGTGGTGCTTGTCACGGCTGGATTTTTCGTGATCCATCTCGGAGTGTCGGTGGTAAGCTCGAAGTGGCTGGGATACTTGAGCTGCGTTGGAGCCTGGTTTCAGCTAGTCTCCACTCTCGTTGTCGCGGTGACGCTCATCAGCATAACTCCCAAGTTCCAGAGCTTCCAGTTCGTCTTTACGAAGTTTGTCAACGCTCCAGGCCAGGGGATCCACAGCAAGTCCATGGTGGTAGCGCTCGGCCTTCCTTACTTGCAGGTAGGATGATCCAGTTCTCTTCTTGAATCCGGCTAGAGTTCTTTCTTCTTTCTTCGCAGGCGATCCTCACGGGATTTGATGTGGGATCGCACATCGTCGAGGAAGTAAAAACTGCGGCAATCGCTGGGCCAAGAGCGATGGTGAGGAGCGTCTACGCCACAGCGGGAGTCGACCTGATGCTACTCTTGGTCATGACTTTCTGCATCGTAAATCCGGACGACCTTCTCTCGGAGAACACAGCAACCGGTAAAGTTATCGCAGCAACTTAAGTTTTCTCCTCCCAACTTTTCTTGAGCATGATCGCTTCTCTCCCGTGGTCTTCCAAGCTTTCCACAGGAGGAGGCAATGCATCCGGCGGCATCCAGCTCTTCTACGACTGCTTCCAAGCTCGATACAGCCACGGTACTCTGGGAGCAGTAATCTTCACAGGCCTAGCAGCGGGGTCACTGTTCTTCGCCAACATCATCAACGTCACGCTCACAGCAAGATGCGTAAGCTTTCTCCTCCACCACCATCGTCTTTTCCCTGTCCTGGACGTCCATCCTCTAGCAATCCAAGTGATCCATCTCTCCATCTATAGGTGTACGCCATGGCCAGAGACCTGGGACTTCCATTCCACGCCACTCTAACCAAACTGACCGCTCGCGAGAAAATCCCTGTCAATGCCACCATCGCCACCGTGATCGCTGCCTTCGCCGCCACGCTCCCATCCCTGGGAAGCGAGGTAGCATTCACGGCAATCGCCGCCATGTCCACAGTCACAGCCTTCATCCCCTACACGATCGTGTTGATTTGCAAGCACCTGGTGAGGAAGAGGGATCTTCCTCCGGGCCCCTTCTCGCTGCGCGGCTGGGGAGCATACCTGGGAGGCGTGGGAGCGATGTGGGGAATGGCGATCACGCTGCTCTTCTGCCTGCCGCCTACGCTGCCCATCCGGCTCGCGACCTTCAATTACACGGCGCTATCACTGGCGGGGACGCTCGTCGCGGGGATCGCCTACTGGATCGCGCACGGGAGGCACACGTACGCCGGCCCTCGCAGGACCATTTGAGAAGAACATTCCCAAAAGAGAATATGCTATTAGGTCAATATATTCATTTTGTCAGCATGACCACGTGATTCTTTGACGAATTTTCAAACTTTATTGACCCACGTCCGTGCACGGCCAAAACTCCACCAATAATGCTTCAATTCAGCCAAGCTTTTGGATATGGCGCCCATGCTTTTGCTGTTTTTCCTCTGCGCATTAGTTCATTGCCTCCGGGCTGTAACAGAGGTTGAAGTTCTTCTCGATTTCAAGAAGAACATCATCAATGGAGCATCCCTTTTGCCCGATTGGAATGCCGAGAATTCGACCCTGTTCTGCAGCTGGAGAGGCGTATTATGTGACGAATCCGGTGCCTATGTCACGGCTCTAAAACTTCCTGGCATGAACTTGACGGGCAGGATCACCAATCAGATCGGCCATCTTTCGTTCCTACTAGGCCTAGATCTCCATGAGAACAACTTCTTTGGTGAAATTCCTTCGAGCCTTGGGAACTGCTCGAAGCTCTTCTATGTGTCTCTTTATGCGAACCATCTGTCGGGTGCAATCCCCGCAAGCCTGGCGTTTTGCGACTCTGGCCCAATCCGGCACCTGCTGCTGAGCGACAATTCTCTCGAGGGAAGTATCCCAAGTTCCTTCTGCAACACGTCTAGTATGGTCATCAGATTGAGCCTTCGCTCCAACAAGATGAATGGCAGCTTGTCATGCAAGCCACAAATTATTCGTCACCTTGATCTTTCCCACAACAGATTCACTGGATCTATACCTAATAACTGGACCGTCCACTATCTAGATCTATCATACAACTCTCTCTCAGGGACAATCCCGGCAAGATACTCTGATGCAGTGATTCTCGACCTCTCCAACAACATGCTCTCGGGAGAGATTCCAGCTCCAAACAACAACTGCTTCTGGCTGCAGATATTGGATCTCTCTTACAATCGTCTAACCGGTACGTTCCCAGAATCTCTTGGGACTTGTATGCACCTTCATATTCTCAATGTCAAGCGAAACCTCATGGCTGGAGAGATATCCTTGAACTTCAGCAGGCTCGGAAATCTTAACTCCCTTCAACTCTCTGGAAACCAATTCAGCGGTCTTATCCCGAGAAGTCTCTATTCTTTCCCGGGCAGGCTCGACTCAATGGAAAGGTCACCTATTGACACAAAGTATGTCTACTGCAACTCTGGTCTCTTGCTCCTGGATCTGAGTTATAATAACTTCTCTGGCACATTTCCAGAGATATTTTGCACCTGGGACTGCTTGAAAGTTCTCCTCCTCTCTTCCAACCAGCTGTCCGGAACGATACCAAAGTGTATAGGCAACATCAGCAATGCCAGGGTGATCGATCTGTCCAGCAACAAGTTCTCAGGGGAGCTCCCCACCACATCGTTGATCAACCTGACGGCGTTCAGGTCAGTATCGAATTGGAGCATTGGATGGTACAGCTTTCTCAACCTTGGGCACAACTCTGGCACTGAAGCGGACGACTTCACCGCATATGATAAGCCTTTCGACTTCAATGTGAATGTCAAGGGGCGTCGATCCACGTACCAGAAGCTGAGCGATTCTTTCACCATGTTTGACGTCTCCAGCAACTTGCTTCGAGGGCACATCCCACCATTCGACCACCTCCAAGGTCTCATGCACTTGAATCTCTCCTTCAACAAGTTCGATGGGCAGATCCCTCGGGAGCTATCCGGTCTCAAATCCCTCGAATCACTCGACTTGTCCAGCAATGCCTTGTCTGGAAGTATACCTCCAGCCCTCGGCGAGATCTCATCGTTGTCAAGCTTCAATATTTCCCATAACAACTTGAGTGGTCGAATTCCAAGTTCCGGAAACCTCAACACTCGGTTTGTGGAGGCGGCATTTGATGGTAACCCTCTACTGTGCGGAGCACCACTGCCACCTTGTCACGTCCCAAGCTCAAATCTATCGCCCAGGAGCCCGGTTATCAATGTAAGTTCTTCATGGGACCAAATCATCGCAGAGAACATTGCTTTCTACGCGGCAGTGGCCACTGGTTTTTCCATTTCACTGAGTTGTGTGCTCTTCACAAGGATTGGGGTGCTCCTGGAAAACTCCATAACGTCAGTTCTGTACAAATCTCTTTCGATGCATCTTAGAAGATCGAGAGTGGTATGAGTTCCAAACTAAAGATGAAATGAAAGACGATGGTGTGATGAATGAAGGCACTGGGAGAGCTAGTCACGGAATGCAAGAGCGTCGCTGAGGCACGAGGATTCCACCGCCACATTGTCTCCACCGACTTGACGAGCTGCGCTCATGGCGTCTACCTCTCCAACCTCCTCATCGACGCATTCGGGCGATGCTCCAGCGTCCAGGACTCCTGCATCGTCTTCCACTCCCTGCGACCGCGAAACTTCTTCTCCTGGCGATCGCTCCTCGCGGCCTGCCTCCACAACAGCCTCCTCGCCGAGGCGGCACAGATCCTTGCAAAGACGCCGCAGATGGACGTCGGCGGCGGCGCTTCGATGGTGGGAGCGCACGCGCAGAGCGGCGATCCCGACGCAGCCAAGGCGGCGTTCGATCGCATGCCCTGCCCGAATTGTATCACCTGGACGACTCTTCTCGGGATATGCCAGGAACGGGCATTTGGATCGAGCAAAGGTGATCTTCAACGCGATGCCAATGTGGCACTTGGGCTCCTCGAATTCGATGCTGGGTGGGTTTTCGAGAGTCGGACTCGAGGCCGATGCCGAAGAAATCTCCTCCAAAATGCAAGAGCGCGATGTTTCTTCCTGGACTAGCATGTTTGTAGCATTTGCCCAGAATGGGCATATTGTAAAGGCGAGTTTTGTGTCCAACGTGATGCCGCTCTGGGACGCCGTTTGCTGGACGACAATGCTCGAGGCATACGGCGGCGGCTGCGTCGCGGAGGCCAAGAAACTCTTCGACGCGATGCGCGATCGCAGTGTCGTGTCGTGGACAATCTTGCAGGTTGGCTACGACCACGGGGGCGAGAGCATCGAAAACACGAAACTCTGGTTTGATCGCATGCCCTCTCGTGGACCACTCTCATCTTGACCAGAAAAGGAATCTCTTCCACAAGATGCTCTGCCACGACACCGCGTCCTGGAATTCCATGGTCAACACCTCCTGGAGCTCTTCCGTGGACGGGATAGATCCGGATGGAATATGCTTTATGGGCGTTCTCCTGGCGTGTAGCCATGGCGGGACTGTTTACGATGGACGCGAGTGTTTTGTGACAATGGTGGCGGACTATGGAGTTTGCCCTCACAGGGAGCACTATTGCGCGCTGGTTGATCTCCTGGGACGAGCTGGGCATTTGGGCGATGCGGAGGAGTGTGTATAGCATGCCGTTTGAGCCGGATGTTGTGGAGTGGATGGCTTTGCTTGGAGGGTGTAGGATCCACAATGATCTTGCGAGGGGGGCTCGCGCGGCGCAAGGAGTTCTGGCGCTGGATCCTGGGAACTCTGCTGCGTGCTCCCGATTTGTCTAGCAATTCATCGTCAGCCTCTAAAGTTGACGTGGATAACGAAACAAGAATGTGTGTTGCTGTTGGTTGATTTGGGACTAATCCAAGCGAAGGTAGATTGGCATAAGAATGGAGAAACTTTGCCTGAATCAATCACAGCAGGCGGGTATGTGCTCGGCACTCCTTGCTTGGGATCTTTGTCAAGCAAATGCTGGCATGAAGTTTATTTGTTAGCAGTTAGCTGGGCTGTTTTTTCTGAAGGTGTTTGTTGCATCTATCGCCTTGAATTTATGATTGGAAGTGTGTATGTTGCTGCAACCACCGGAACATTGGGTGCCTACGAGCTATTGCTTGCTTCATTATCCTTGTGGTTGTACTGTTGGAAATTCCAGAACAACAGAATTCAAGCATCATGCACATGTGCTGTATTTCAGAACTTCGAACCTTTGTAAAGGGGACTACACAGGAGTCATAATAAAAAAGCTCAAATAAAAAATTGAATCCCTTACAAGTTGCTTCTCAGGTCAGTTTTGATGTTGTTACTGTTGCATTATGAACTTTAGTTAATATGCAGTAGTATCTAGAAAGTGAAGGGCTGTCTGTTGAAGGCAATCACAAATTACAAATTATGTTTCTTGTTAAGCACTTGATTTGTTTATAACTGATAAGATCATATACTAATTAAACTATGTGATTGCCAAGTATATGGCTACGATGCCGTATACTAATATTAGCGTAATGGGATTTTGGTAGCCGTCGGATTGGTTTCAATCCGGACCACTCACTACTATATATAAGCTAGGGTTTTTGGGTTAATTGATATGCACATTTTTGTATTCCCTTTCCATATTCCATGCACTCACATTGGTGGAGGTGAGGGGCACCTTTGATTGTCTCTGGGGAATGTTTGGATTTGGGATTTTGATTTAGATCTAACTTTTGCATCGTCTAGATCTAGCTTTTTTCATTTCCTTTCTTTTGTTCTTTCCTTTCAGGATTTTGGTTTAGATCTAGTTTTTTGCATTGTCTAGATCTACCATTTCTTTCCAGCTTTTTGTCATTTCTTTTCTTTTGCTCTTTCTTTTTTGTTCATCTTCATGGCCAATCAGCAATCTCCTCCTTTGACTCTAGAGCAACAGTTGGTTCAATTGCTTGATGCTATGCGCTTGCAATTGAACAACCAAACTCAATTGATGGTGGCATTCACGGCACGTGGTCCAACTCCTCCTGCTCTTGGTGCCAATCCTCATGTTCGGCCGGAGTTCTTTCGTGGGAATCTTGGGGATGATGTGTACCATTGGTTCGATCACTTCACAGTGATTGCCACATATCATTCTTGGGATGATGCTCGACTTTTGCGTGAGTTTCCCACGTGTCTCCAAAGGACGGCGTTGCAGTGGTACAATGGATTGAGTGCGGCCACTCGTGGGGATTGGAGTGTTCTTCTGGACGTCTTCAAACGCGCCTTCGGACATGCTGACAATTGTGACGATGCCTTCCAACAATTGCATCGTCTTCACCAAGGGCTATTTGAGTCGGTGATGCAATTTGGCGTTCGTTTCCGAAGTCTTTTGCTTCGTGCGGAGCCC